AGGTGGCTGTTGGAAAACCGAGGTGAGTGAGCAGTTTTCCGAGCAGCTCTGGAGGAGCGGGGACTGGGGGTGTTACAGCGGGGTGTGCTCCTGAGGAGGGCAGTCACAGCGGCGGAGTGTCCACGGTGGCGGCGCACAGAGAACACCGGAGGACGGGGCTCGACGCCAGCGTGCATGTGCAGGTAAATACGCGTGAGTGGGGCATTAGATCCGCGGGGCTATGAATGTGCTCCGTGCTGCGGGACTAGGGCTGGAGCAGTGCCAGAGACAGACGGGTATAGTTTATAAAGCGGCATCATCAGCGGCGCTCAGCAGAGCTGTGTGCCCGGGCAGAGGCTGCGGAGCTCGGAGAGCTGCAGAGGTGAGAGCGGGAGGAGAGAGCTTGTGCGCGGACGCGCTTCTCTCAGCTGAAGGTTAAAAGATTGCTGTTAGCAGCTAGCGCTAGCCCCGATCTGTGGACAGAGGCCAAACTAGGTCTAAAACGCGCACTTGCATCATTGTAATGTGATCAAAACAAATTAGTTTAGTGGAACGGGCTGCAGCCGCTCTAGTGCAACTCGATGGCGTTACTGCTATGTGAAGTTGATGGCGTTGTGCTTTTAGTGATGTGTCAGCCGTACCGCCCACACGGCGCTGTTATTTTCCTCTGGACTAGGTCATCCATGTGCGCTTTGGACCGTCCTGTCTGGGTGTGTGGAGCAATCGGGCCCCGCAGCTGTCAGCGGGAGGAGACGGGAGGAGACGCGGAGCACAGGGTCAAGTGTGGGCTGCTGCAGATGTTGGAGGGCACTCTGTCGCTCCGGTTTACCCTGGTTGTTTTTCTCCGAGAACCTTCATTCCTGTGCTCTGCCACTACAGTACTTCTGTACAGAGATAAACAGCTAATGTTTGTTTCTTAAAGACTTTTCCTTGGGTTTTACACAGCTGGAGGCATTAGGGGAAAGTCAGTTGGCTCTGTCTGCATTGCAATAATAAAGTTTAGGCTATTTCTAGGCTAAGTAAAGCCTTTAGACCCCTCTACAGATCCAGTCTCTTGGATTACTGGACCTCAGTTCTTTTGAAAGTGTTTGTGCAGGTTTGGAGGAGGCAGAGCCAGAGGTGAGAGGGTTTTTGTCTTGGAGCTGATGTAGACCTATGTGTAAGCATTTACAAGTCACAGAGGAGGAAGGGCACCTTTGTCCCCAGGGCTCTTATCCTCCTCAATCAAACTGCCCTGACACAAAACTGCCTGACTTCCTGATCCTGACTAGGCCCCCTTTTAACCTCTGCTGAAACTACTCACTGACACCACAGGGGACAAATTAGTTATTTATGACCTATTTGACTGATTGATTTGACTATAAGTGCTTTCGTTTACTACCTATTCTGTCAGTGCTTTAGCCTATCTGTACCTCTCTTATCCAGTCCTCACTGTGGCTTTGACAATCCTGAATTATTAGAATATTTTATTTGTCATCATACCACAAACTAATTTGTAATGCGTCCAAACCCTTGCACTGTTCAGATCACATCTCACCACTCCTCACCTCCACTGACCTTCAGTTTTGGGCACAATACAAAATGTTCTGTTCAAAAGCCTACTCTTACTCCTCCAGCTCCAAACAGCTTGGACTGGATTCCGCCCATCACTGTTCTGCTGTCTGTGCTCCTTTCTGCTGCTCTGCTCTACTGTCACCCATAACTCAGGACAATGGGTGCACCGGCCTTCAGCGGTCAGCACCCAGTCTATGGGCCCAGTCCTCTTACACGTAGGCCTTATATATTCAGTGCGCAGTGGACAACGCAGACTTATCTCTTATCGATATATAATCCATGTTATTTAGTCACAAGGATCATACCATAGCACATGGAGAGATAACAGCTGCAGTTCTCCTTCAATGATCCTGTCATATGTGTGGTAAGGTTTAGTTACAGATGTGATGCAGGTGCAGATGGCTGTCTTTTGAACCTGAATACCATCCTTGTGCTCTACTAGTCCAGGATGTTCTGAAGGCTCTTGTTCCACCTCTGTCACATCACTCTCACATCACTCTTTCCTCACTCTGCTGTAGAGGGATGTTATGCAACTGTTGCCATTTAAATCAGTCCCTGTGTCTGTGTGTGCATCATTTCTAGGCCAGGCTGTGCTGTCGCTGTGGTGCTACAGGGATCCCCTCAGAGCTGCGTTCATATCATGTGACGCCACGGCTTGGCTGGGTCATGTGACACAGGGCTGACGCAGGTGGGAGGGGCCAGGCTGCTCATCATGCTCCATTGCTTTCATATGTGGCCTATATGTGTGTTAGTGTGTGGCAGGCAGCTGCAGTGTCTGTGAGCAGGGTGACTTCTGTCATGACAGCATAGCTGATCAAAGTGACTGGAGTACAGCATGAAAACACACCAACACAGCTGCCACAGCCATTAGGAGAAGTGTGACTATATTTGATACAATGAAATGGCTTTTACACGCATATCTAGTGTAGAGCTGTCTCCCTCCAAACTACAAACGTGTGTGCTTTTCCATATGGGCAATTTATGGTGTTAAACTTCTCTTCTCTCTCTAAAATATATAAAAACAAGTTAACCAATGTTATAAGAAAGAGTAAGAAGGAATATGAAAAGAAATGGCTGTTTAAAAACCAAAATAATATAAAATAATTAAATAAGGTCACTAATAATTGTTCAAGGCAAAGAACTTATTTTACAGTAAATGGAAATGTATAACTTCAGCAATTATTTTGTTAATGTAGGCCTTGAGTTTGCAGCTAACATTTTAATTAATCCAACTGCTGACAAATTCATTGAAACTGACTGAGAAAAACCCACATTCAATGTTCCTCAAACCTGTGGATGAAATTGAAATCATAGACATTTTTATTTAATGTAAAAGCAAAAAATCTACAGATTTTCAAGATATTGATATTGGCATTTATTTTTAACTTAACTTTTAAATCTGGTACATTTCCAGAACAAATGAAAATTTCATATTTCAAATGTTAACCGACTTTATGAATTCATAGAAAACATGGGTTATTATCAGACAATCAACATGGTTTCAGGACCAACAGATCTACATCATATGCAATTATGGAAGCAGTTGTAGAAATCACAAATGCATTAGAAAAAAAGGAATACGCTTTGGGGATTTTTTTGGATCTCAAAAAAGCTTTTGATACCATTCTCTGCTAATCAACAAATTGGAAAGATATGGTATCAGAAGGGTTGCACTAAATTGGGAACAGAGTTACGTGGCTGGTAGAAAACAGTTTGTGAAGCTGGGTGATATGGAGTCCGATTGCCTGGACTTTACATGTGGTGTTCCCCAGTGGTTAGTATTGGGCCCAACATTATATACTTTATACATTAATGACCTGTGCATAGTCTCAGATTCGTTAAAGCTCATTTTGTTTGCGAATGATACAAATGTTTTTACTTCAGGACCTAATTTGGCGCAAGTACTCAGTCATGTAAAAATAGAAATGTCAAAAGTGAAGCAATGGTTTGACATTAACATATTATCATTAAACCTAAGGAAGACAAAATGTATATATAATAATGATATTTGGTTATAAAGCAGATACTAACATGGACTTTGAAATCAACGGCAAAATATAGTGAAATCGACACTATGTATACACTACAGTATACAAAGCAAAACTGGTATCAGATCAACCAGCCCTCCATATTTTGTACTCTGCACTAGCTGTTCCATGTTTACTATACTGTATTTAAATCTAGGGAAACAATTGTAAGACTACATTAAACTCCATCAGTATTCTTCAAAAAAGAGCTATAAGAATTATTCACAAAGTAGGATACATATACACACAAATTCACTTTTTCTACAATTAAAACTGTTAAAACTATATGATCTTGTTCAGTTACAAACAACCCAAAACATTTTTAAAGAAAGTAAATCTTGTTACCACCCAGTCTTCAAAATATGTTTAGTTACAGACAAGGGGTCTATATTCTGAAGGTTACTTTCATGTTCACTCAATGCAGAGCAAGGATAACAAGAAAAAGTTTCGGAGTTTGGGTATGCGGGGTTAAAGTGTGGAACAGTTTAAAGGGAGCTTTAAAGGACTGCCAGTGAATTTACTATTTTAAAAGTACTATTCAAATGTGAGGTATTCAACAGCTATAGGTTGGAAGAAAGGCAATAATTACACTAGAGGTGAGCAGTATTGAAATTGTATTTAAAATGGGTTAGATAATGTGAAAAGATGAAGGAAAAGGGGGGGAAATGGTTAAGGGTACAAATAGGTTCATAGGAATTGGTACATTTATTATGTGTAACGAGTCAACACAGGAACTGAGTGGTTTTCATTATCATTAGTATGACTATTAAAGCAGTGGAGTATCCCACTCCCTTTCAAACACGGCAATGGAAATGTTCACACTTAGAAACATTGTATTTTCTTGTCTGAGATAGCTTTATGTATGTATATATATGTGTGTGTGTGTGTGTGTGTGTTTGTTTTTCTTTCTTTATCTCTATTTTATTTTTCTACTTTTCACCTTGATTGTCAAGATGCATTATATATATGTTGAAGACACATGTCGAATTAAATAAATAAATAAAACTTAACCAGCCTGATATCCATGATCAATACAATTATTACAGCCTGGATATTAGATAGATATAGTTAGTATTAGTATTATTATGCCTTTGTCAAGAGCTGCAGACATGAGTGTCAAGTCAGTTTCTTTCAGGGTCAGTGTAATGCAGTGTTTGCTTCGTGTCTGGGTGGTTTGTTACAGTTACAGGCTTAAGGAGATAGATCTGCAAATGCACAATTAAAAATGATATTCAGTCTCACGCTTTGTGTTGTTAGTTTGAGCAAAGCTTTGAGCGTGCACTAAATGTTATAGGGCCTGCAGTCTTAAAGAGTCTGATCCCAGTGGGATTTGGCGTGGTCGTACACAGTCCACATCAGACCTGAGGGCTCTGATGGAAACCCCTGTGTCGCCATGACAGCGCCCTTCCTCAGGAAGCGTTGAGCCCCGGGCTCTCGGATGTCACATGGTCCGGTGCTGGAGTTTGTGAGTGCTCTATACCTGATGTTTATGGTGTAATAGCTCAAGAAAGTCTTAAAGTCTTATTCAGAGTTAAGTAATTTCTGACACGATGGGAGACATTGTGGTTTACTAAGAATGAATAGAATAGTAATTGTTCGACGTGTTATCCAGCACACTCCCAATGTGGTTCAGACACATGTGTTCTCCATATGTGTGTCTCGGGTGATTTACGTCACAGATCTCCTCCTCACTCTGCACAACAGCCCCGTCTCTCCTTCTTCTCTCTTTTCTGCCCCATCTTTCAGCCTCTCCCTCTTTCTCTCGCTCCCTCTCTCCCTCTGAGCCATTGTGCATAAAGCTTCCATGTTTGGAACAGGAAGACATAGCTCATTGTTACAAACTGAGGGATTGGTATAAATAGGGTAATTATGATGCACAAGAGTAGCACTAATGTTTTGTTTGCAATGAGAAAGCACAATATTCAGTCTATTTGTGTTGTGGTGTGGATGTTTGTGTCTGAAATGTGTGATTACTGATGCAGGAGGTCAGACAGGTAATCTAACAAGAAGCAGCATAATGTTTACAGACTTTGTCTAACCATTGTGTCATTCATGAGTGTTCTGTTCTTCTGCCTCAGCCATGGAGCCTGTGGTGGCGTTGATCCTGCTGCTACACTGAGGACCCACTCCTCCACCTGCCTCAGATGTGATCATGTACAGTGTGGAGGACCTCCTCATCTCTCATGGATACAAGCTGCCCAAACACAAGCCCTCCAGCTCGGGTCCTCCTGCCCGGCCCGCCCCCTCGGCCTCTCCCCCCTCCTACAGCAGGCACCAGCAGCTCCTGGAACGGCCCCGCACCGTCAACGGCTTCTGCAGCTACACCCTCAGCCACAGCCACACACGGGATCGCAGCCAGTCCAGACAGGAGGGCCGCCTTAGCGACACTGGGTGAGTGTCTCTCTCTGTAAGTAGTCTCCTCAGACAGGGGTAGTCAGGGTCAGAGATAACCACTAAGTTATAGGTGTTTGTTTGTTTGTTTGTCAATTTATTTGATACAAAAAGCTTAATTTTGTACAAATGTTAAAGATAGATCATACAATATGTATTATGTAATGTATAAACAATGCTTGGCTGTTTGTGGCCCAATTTGTTTTAACCAGATGAAGTTTAATATTTGCTTTATAAATTTAGAGTTATGGATTTATGTTTCGTCTCTTTTGTCCCTCTGCTTCATCTGTGCCACTATAGCAAATGTTTTAGTTTTTTTTTTTTCTATTTTAGATTGATGCGCACGTAAACCTGTAGCTGTTGCAGGCATCTAGCTCCATCTAGTGTTCATTTTATGATATGTAACTCATCAAGTTGTTGCCACCCCAAGATAAATTTACATAAATGAAATCCCATTAAATTACTTCCTCTGTTTGTTAGGTTCTGTGATGCAAACCGCAGTCTTCAGCTGCAGGCCAAGGATGTGTCCTACTGGAGGAGGAAAGGGCAGGACTTTGCTGTGTTGTTAGACTACACAGACTACAAAGAAGCCGCTGCTAATGGTCGACAGGGAGCTTATGTAAGACCAGAGAGGGCTGAGGAGGTGAGGGGCACAGCGCCTCTGGAGGAGTGTCCCAGGTCAGAGAGACCTCACTGCAGAGACAGTCAGCTGCTGTTGCCCTGGAGAACAGCTGAGAGGAAGTGCCAGAGCCTGGGTGCAGAAGAGTGGCAACCATCTGAGCAGCGCCTACTCTCCAGGACCCCAGAGGGCATGGTGCTACCCCGGACTAAAGCCAGGACACAGTCTTTGCCCAGAATGCAGGCCAACTCTCGGCAATACGTTCCTCTGTTTCATCAGAACACCTACAGAGCCCCACGCTGGCCAGACAATGGCAGACCTGCCAGTGCCAACCCTTTGTCAATTACACCAAAGCCACGCTTCACCCGCCCCCCCAGACCTCCCTCCTATGAGATGCACCAGCAGATCAGGGGCAGCTGTGAGCTGCTGTCTGGGAGAGAGCTGACCAGGGAGAGGACACCTCTCCCAAGGTTAAGAACCGCAGAGTCTCAGCTGGACTACTTTGCACAGGACTGTGGACCACCAGGGTACATCCCTCCCCCATCCTATAAAGAGCCCCCATCATGGAAGGGGTCTGCAGGGATTATGGAGAAGTTGCCATCAATTATAGGTACAGTTACATAATAATATAATTTGCATCGCATTTGCCCTTATTTTACAGAAACCAAAAGATGGAGAGTGCATTCACAAGAGCATACACTTTCACTTCTATGAGAAAAGTAGAGACCTACTCTCAAAATTAATTCAGGAAATTGGCTATGTGTTTTGAGTTTTGAGTTTTTTCCCATGTAGGCGGTAGCTTAGGTGTGAACCACACAGACAAGCACAAGAGAAGAGTCACTGTTATCTGAACCCTGGCCCTGGGTAACATCAGGCCAGTTGGGTGTGAGGGAAGAAGTAAAGATTCAATTTAGAAGAAGTTAAGATGCAAGGTAGTTTTGTTTTGCATTAGCATTGCCTGTATCATATTGCTTCTATTTCACATGTGTGGCTCTCACAGAAGCTAGTTAATAGTAAATATCTAAAATCATTTCATGCCATAGATTCGTTCATGTTCTTTATTATGTTCTTCATGAAAGGCCAGTTGCATGACATCTCTTGAGTCTACTGTTGCAATATCCCAAGAAAATATTTTGAGTTTCGGGTCAATTATATAACAAAAAGAAATGAATTCATAAATTAATTAATTCTGAGTCTTTGTGCACTGTCCACTAATGATAATAATAACAACTGGGTGATTTAATAAAACCATTTCTTAAATTAAACAACAAATTCTTCCAATGAATTCACATCTGTGACTCTTGAGAATGTTATGACACTTAAAGGGGCCATATTGCGCTATTCTCTGATCTATGTTATAATGCTGGATGCCTTCAGTTGTGTTTTGTTTCATTCACACATTTAATACTCAAATCCTGCATAGTTAGTTGTGAGTTTTTCCAAAATAAACAAAACACATATCTGGATATGTTTTTGATGAGATAAATAACACTATAACATGCCTAAAAGACTAAAAGTAAAATTTGCATAATATATGACCTTTAAATTTCACAAACATAGTCTAATACCAGCCAAGGGCATGTATTTTGGAGCAGTTGCTGACAGCATTTACTTCTGTTTGTTCAGGTACAGAGGAGACATGTACCAGCAGCTGCACAGGACTCCAGATGGCTCTCACTGGTGCCCCCCACATGTAGGAGGGTGCAGCACCACCACCCACTCCAGGCAGCTCTACCCTGTCTACATGACCCAGGACAGGCCAGGGGGAAGGGTACAGTACCTGCCCTTTGACCACCCCTCATCATTAGGAGGAAACTCTCTAACGGACTCTGACAAGATCCGCCACATTCGCAAGGAGCTTCCAAGCCTCACCGTGTCCGAGCCAGCTTCTGGCAACAGTGCCTTTTTGCCCCCTCCACTGGGACCTTCTTCACTCGTGGTTAATGACTCTGCTTATGGGGAGTTTGACAGTGACAATACCAGGTGGCACAGACATTTGCACAAAGAAACTGTAGATAACATCCCAGCAACTGACCAAAACTACAATAACAGATACCACAAAATCCAACATGGCCGCCCAACATCTCCCTTTTCAGCTTTCCATGTGCCGCCAACATCCTCCTCAAGTCTGAGGTGTAAGTCTGAGCAAGGCTTTTTAGAAACCATTACCCAAGTGAAGCAGATAAGGCCTGACTTTGGAACAGACAACAACAGGAACCCCAAGAGGAGATTCAGTGAGACCATTTTCTGCCTTGTGTCTGTCCCAGTTCACACTCCCACAAACTTAAACAAAAATGCTCCTGCAGACCAGAACAACAATGACCCCACTACCAACCACACCATCCCTGACACGTTCGCAGTGGGCCTGAAGGAGAGCCGTCCTGTAAGGAGCAGGTCAGTCAACCAAGTGCCAATCTGGAGCCAGTGCTCTCTCCCTGACACCAGTGGCACCTCCTCCCTGAGGAATTATAAGAGGGCTCCTCTCAGAAAAGAGATTATTGATGCATGGGCTCTTCAGGCTAATGACAGCAAAGAGATACACTCTCGCTCATGGCCTGGGAACCAGTACCGCAACCAGGAAACCCAGACCGGGTCACCCTTGGTTAAGAGTCCAGAACCTGAGGACAAGGCAGCACCAGACACCAGCGTAGACAGTACATCAGCAAATGGTTACTGTCTGAAGGACCAGAAAAACCTTCACCTTTCCAGCAATAGTGCATTTTCTCTAATTAGTCCTACCCAAGTTCCATATAAGGAGCCTCCATTATCCGAGTCCAACAAGGAGAAGCAGCGTGTGTCCAGTCCTAAGAGCCACACCCCAGAGCCCTCAGCAGACAGCACTGAACATGTCAGCTTTGGTCAGTTCCTGCTAAAGCCTGTGGACCGGCGTCCCAGTGATTATATTGGTGAGTTAGAAAGCATTAACAAAGAGATGGAGGACACTATTAGCAAAAGGGCCAATATGAGTTTGGGCAGGAAAGGAAAGAAGAAAGCCAATGTGCACCAGTCAGGGGCACAGTCTATGGAAGAGATGCGCTTAGAGAATCCCACTTACATTAACGTGCGCTCCAAGTCTTTCACCTCTGCTGACATGTACACGGACACAAGCTGTTCATTTTTCAGGCCACAGAATGAAAAAATCCCACCAGCACAGGAGCACACTGGCTTTACTCTGGACAGTGATCTAACTCCACAGGACATCCCAGTTCCTCAGGAGTCCATGCTTCGAGACGTCGGCCTCAAAGTCTACACTGAGACTGGGCCAATGGAGCCAGCACCACGGTCAAGCTCTGTTCCACCTTTTCAACCTTTGGATGAGCTCTCGTGGGAAAATATGACAACCACTGTAAACCTGTGCAAAGATGGCCTGGAGAACAAGGTAAACAAAGAATCTAAAACTAGAAGCAGTCATAAGCACCACACATCTGGAGTGAGTTTAAGGATCTGCCGGAGCCGCAGTGAAAGCAGTAGATCTTCTCATAAGAGGGAGTGTTCACCTCATGTCAACAAACTCAACCGCGTCAAGTCATGCCCTGGAGGTGACCAGCCTACCTTAGCTGATGAGCACTTAGAGAGCTTGTTAATAAAGGAGAAAACCAATTCTCTACCAGCGGAGGACCTTAGCCACCTATATGAGATCAAATGTGCCGAAGGGATCCCAGAAAATGAGTCCATCGAGCAGAGAGCCGCAAGGATTCTAGGCATTGCTATTCCAGCCGGAGCCTTGTGTGTTGACAAAGAAAAGATACAAGTTGATGGTGAGTCAAATGTTGAAGAAGAGGGGAGATACGTTGAAAAAAATCCTGCCAAATGTCTACTGTCCACATCGTTGGTTCACGACACAGAACCAACAAAGACTAGATATATTGAGGAGACCACTCCGAACATTGTGGAAAGTCCAATGGAGGAGTGTAGCTTACCTGTTGTAACATGTTCGGAATATGTGAATCATGGCCAAAGCGAGGAAACTAAGCAGTTGGGAGACAGTGCAATGTTAATAGGAGATGTTGGTGAAGTAAGTCAGGTAGACAGTGATGAGAAAGTTGCAATAGATGAAATGCAAGACAAGTCAGAAAAACCCGTGCACATTGAGCAAATACAGGGATCTGAGTCAAAGGAGGAGGTTGTTCTTGCACTAGTAAATGATGAGGGAATCAAAGAAGCAGCTGAACTGGCAACAGAGGATCTAGGGAAAATAGAGGTAAAAGACGAGGGAGGTACTGCAGAGCAAGGGCCAGAAGTGAGTGAATCAACAGTAAGTAGAGTGAGCCGGGTAGCACCTCCCAAACCACCCAAGCCCAAACAGCGCACCAAGCTCCAGAAACCAGCCCTGCTCCCCAAACCACGCTGTGTCCCCAAGAGGGAGATCAGCCTGCCCCGCCACAGCACCAGCACCACGGAGGAGGCTCCAGACACTGTTCCTGGTAAGAAAATCCTATGTCATGCTATATATGGGGTCATAATGACATGAAAGAAGATTCTGACCTGTTGTGTGCTCTTCTCCTCAGACACATATGACCCGAGCCATGTGGAGAGAGTGTAGGCCTGGCTCAGAGGAACATCTTCCATCACTGTGGAATGACCATTGGTCCTGAGTCCCTCTGGGTCCCTCTGGATCCAGTCTCTTTATACATGCTCTACAAGTGCTGGCTACAGGGGGTGCTCAGAGCCTTCAGCACATCTCCTTTCTTTGACACATGTTAGTGTTCCATCTGCACTATGGCTTCTTCTTGAGCTTGTGTGGAAAATGAATGTAGAAGTGCTTCTGTTTTGGAATATTACTTGTCAGTGTTGAAAAGAAAATATCATTATAGTATTGCATCACAATCAGTATTCTCCCATTCAAATGAACATAAGGAGTTTCTTACAGACTTATAAAGTACTATTCAGCAGAAGAAATGTATATTTTCTTATCAGTGTTACATTTTAGAGATCAAGTCTATTATGTATGTGTCCCATGCTTTTTATCCTTTTGTGTGATAGAGAATGTAATGAAATGATCAACACTGTGCTCCTCGAGTGTTACTCACAGCAATATTGTAGTCCTATACACAGTGTGTGTGGTGTCTGTATGTCACTCTCATTTATGTTAGCACTCACCTCATGTACTTCAAGTACTCTGGCTCCAGTTTCACCATCTTCTCCTCTCAGTGAAAGTCACTTTAATTGTATTAGACTAGGTCAAAAGCACAACCCAATAATAATTATTAAAATAATAATGATGATAATTATAACAAACCCAGTGTGAAGCTGAATAATTTGGAAATGAAACCCCCAGTGTGTTTATGATATTTAAAAATATTAAATCGTAACCCTTCTACAGGAGGTTCTAGAGGTATCTGTGTTTATGAACTCATCTTGTGGCATTAGTCAAACATGTGGCATATCTGTGCTCTTTGAGTGTTCAGTTGTTCAGCTGCTGGTGAAGTTATGTTTCTTTATATGGACTTCTGCTGTGGACAAGTCAGGTTAATAGGTTGAATGTAAAGCTTAAACCATTAAGCATTTCACTCATTCAACTTAACATTATTTTCTACTTTTTAAAATATATATTTTATGGCAATAATTCTGATAGAAACCTGATATTGAGTGTGGTATTTAGACTGTACACAATAATGTTGATGATTAACATTATCTTCTCAATAATTAATAATAATTACATATCAGTATATTACATTGTATGCGCAACTGCAATTGGTAAACTCATTGTATATGGGGTAGCAATATTATTATTAGTAAAGACAAGTACTTACCAAATGGAACTTTCTGCTATGCACTGGGCTTGCTGCTGTGTGTGGCTTTTGGCTGGACCAGTCCAGATTAAGGGCAGTTGTGGCAATGGCTTTGGAGACTGTAGCCGCTGGTTTGGCATGACATGCAGTGGTCTGTATCCAGGTTTGGCAATCGGCTCATAGCATGACACTTTGGTATGTGAGTGGGTAGTGGGTTTGTTGGTGACTGGCAAGTGGGGCAGTTTGTTGGAGTGTGGGCAGTTAGTTGGTGAGTGTGGCACTTTGGGAGTGGGGCAGTTTTTTGGAGTGTGGGCAGTTAGTTGGTGAGTGTGGCACTTTGGGAGTGGGGCAGTTTTTTGGAGTGTGGGCAGTTAGTTGGTGAGTGTGGCACTTTGAGAGTGGGGTAGTTTGTTGAAGTGGGACAGTTTGTTGGAGTGGGGCAGTTTTTTGGAGTGTGGGCAGTTAGTTGGTGAGTGTGGCACTTTGGGAGTGGGGTAGTTTGTTGAAGTGGGACAGTTTGTTGGAGTGGGGCAGTTTTTTGGAGTGTGGGCAGTTAGTTGGTGAGTGTGTCACTTTGGGAGTGGGACAGTTTGTTGGAGTGTGCCGGTTGCCAGGGCCAGTTTGGTTGTTGGGGCAGTCTTCATAATAGTGAACCCAGTACCTCTGTGTCTCTGCTCACTTTTCTACTGCAGAATTCATACAGACCACTGGTGCACATTTTGATTTAATATTTTCTATTTTCATATAGAGGTCTTTACAGCTTCTTTTGTATGTGCTGCATTTCTCCTATTTGTGCATGGAACGTGTGACGTCACACAGGTGTATTTGGTACTCTATAGTTTACTCAATAACGATGTTATATTTGCTATATTGTATATTTTATTTCAAATGTTATACTGCATATTTAAATAAGAACAATGTATTTTTAGATCCTTGTGAAAAAAGAACTGGAGGCACAGTATTGTCTAATCACATATAGACAGTGTGCACCTGTACAGAGCAGTGCTGCAGTCTTCAGAAATAAAGTTATTTGCATGATTATTCTTTTATTTCTTGCGCTTTTCACAAGGCATGATATGACTATGTTCAACTAAACAACACTTTGGTTCTTGAAATAAAAAGTCAAATAAATAATATAATAATAATAAACCCAGTCACACACAAAAAAAACTTAGCACAGATAAATGGATTTTGATAATCTTTATTGGATTAGAATGACTAGCCTGCTCTCCTCCAACTAGACACCTGAAGGGCACAGAGCGGACACCACCTTGTGTTCTCCAGGTTCATAAGACTGTTACCTGGTTGTGTGTACCCCTGATGCTAGCATTACATCCTGCTCAGCATTTTAGGTCTGTGTGGCAGCTTCTGCATCCATTCCATTGAGTATTTTAAACACATAAAACCTGGTCAAAAAATTCAATTATAAAGCAGCAGTTAACTTGAAACCAAATGTCAAGTAGCCAAAAACTTTGATGGCAATTGTCTAAAATTAAGTACATTCAAAATCTTAAAACCCATTTAAGATGGTTAAAGATTGCACCTGCAACCCAACTGAATTACACTTCAATCAGTTCAATCCGATTCCACAGAACAGTGAAAACAAAAAGCATACATAAGTTCTTTTAGAATTACATTTTAAACATGACTACATTAGTATGCTCAAAAAAAGCCATTCTTTAACTAATAATTAAGGAATAAGTTATCTGTCAGTGCAAAACTGTGAAATAAAAACTCTTTAAGACAGTCAGCAGTGGAACTAGATGTTCTCAGGCAACTTTTTGACTGTGGACTCTTCCGTCACACAGCGCCCTCAGCCTTGTCTGGTGCTTCAGAAATGTGGGATGCAGCATACTTCAGACGGAAGCCCCCTACACACACAGGAGAGTGGAATAGATTTATGGGTACATTTATACAGTAATGGTGTTGGATATGCTTTCCCCTGCTCTACCTTGTTGTGTGGAATCAATGGAGGGCTGGTTACAGTCATGAGTGTAGTGTCCACTCATCCCACAGTTAGAACAGGACACACTACCATTCTTCTTATTGAGCCCGCCCCCCAGCGTAGCAGGTGGCAGTCGACTAACGGGGCTGGCGTAGTGCTGTGGGGTAGGGTAAAGGCGCTGGCAGAAGGAGGCTGGCATTTGCTGCTGTAACCCCAGCAGGTCTGTGTGTGAGTGCAGCGGGCCATAGGGGGCATAGATGGGGGGCAGAGTGGTTCCATTAGGCTGGGGCTGAGGAGCAGCATGAGCCTGTGGGAGGTAGTTTGTGAGTGGGAACAGATGTGGCATGCCTAAAAGTGGTCGTGCCCCGGCACCAACCTGATGGAAGAACATTGGAGAGGCGCTCACCGGGCGACCACCACACTGACAACCACACATGCCACAGCTTAGTGGTGGCTGTGGCCGCTGCCCTGGGCCCTCCACACACACCTCACTGCTGGGGCTAGACGACGTACAGTCACTATGGGCCATGCTGGGAGTAAGAGCTGGACTTGGGCTGGGGGCTGGCCCGGGGGTGTGCGTGGGCACTACTGGAGGGACTGCTGCCTGTAAAAGGCCCTGAACAGGTGGTGCTGCTGCCACTGCAGCTTCCACACTGGTCATGACAGAGGTGGGTGTAGGGGGCAGGGAATATGGCAGGTTTAAGGCTGGGAGTTTGGTGTGCGGAGTCTCCACCAGGGGCACACTGCCCATCGGAGCCGAATCTGGGCACGGCAAAGATGGCTGAAGACTGGCAGATAGGGAAGGCAGGCTTGTGGACATAACACTGATGGCTCTGATAGGTGTGGGCAAAGGAGTTGGAGGGGCAGAGCTGGGTGCATCTCCTACTGCATGGCATAGAGATTTGAACCTCTGAACCAGAGGTTGCATGGCAGAGATTTCTGGAGGGGGCAGGGTGATGGGTGATACTCCAAATGTAGTGATATGGTCTCCCTTGTCTGGTTCCACCATAAAGCCAGGGCCTGCCATTGCTGGTGGTAGATGCATCCTCACTGCCCCAGGACCAGGCTTGGATAGAGGCGGGGCTCCAGGGGGCAGAGGATATGGCATAAAGGAGAGTGCACCGACGTCCGGGTTGTCCGCTCTGATGGCCTCCATGTGTGTCTGGAGGCTCATGGGTAAGAGTGGATCAGCTCCTAAGCCTTCAGCAGAGTGACTGCCAGGGTCTGGGAAGAGAAAAATTATTTTAGTTTGTAACAAACACCTCCTCAAACACCACCACTTAGTGTTTAAGTAAGTCCAAGTTTCTATTGACAAGTTTGTTTTTACTTGGCAAATCAAATAGAAAAATGCATCTTGCCAGAAATTCCTAACATGTGTAATGAAATATTTTACAATATGCAAGTCCCACCCAAAGCTGCTGGGAAGGACACCAGATCCCATGGGTCCACATGTAATGAAAAATGACTGAATCTGAGTTCTGTGTGAGTATATAATTACATGCAGGGGCCTGTTTCCAAGCAGCACAGTGCTGCTCCTCCTCACTGTCCAGGCTGTCTGTGGCTCTGTGCTGTGGGCTGGAGGCACAACTGGAGCGCTCCGAAGAACTCTCACCAAGTGTATCAGGGCCAGAAACCGCCTCTGCAGTAGAACAGACCAATGTTTCAGTGGGGTGTGTGACTGTAAAACTGACAAACACACACTTGTACTCACCCTTCCACTGGAAGGTTGCAGCTAAACTCCCATTGGGGGTCCCCTTGGTCTTCCCTTTGCCTCTACATACAGATAGCGAAAACTTAAACCACAATTTCCTCTGCCAAATTGCCAATGGGCACACAGGCACACTGAGACCTACCTGAGAGCAGGCTGTGCATGGTTTCGGTTCTCACACTTGTCGTGCTAATAAACACATGTCAGTTTAAGTAAAAGGTAACTTTACAGATGTTTTTAATTGAACTATTATAATATTCAATTTTTTTTTTACTTGTAGGAAAGCAAATGTAGTCAATTTGATATATATTTTAAATAATTTGGCATCAATAAGTTTTAAAATGTTGTGATGTTTTATGACCCACCATAGACAGTATATATGTATGTGTATATATAAAAATATGTCTATGTGATCCAGATGCTTTTGTTTAGATTGGAACTTAGAAATATTAGAAATACTTAAACTCTTACACAAATGGGGTGAGGTAGAACAATTAAGTAACTGCTGTTAATACATTACATATTCACCTTTAATAAGGTGAAAATTAATCGTTATTTGTAATGGATGGATGTCTCACTAACCTCTGTAACTTGGCTTTCAACATGGCAAGTCAGGCTGCAGAAGTAAAAAAAAACAAAAAACAACAGCTTAATAAAGAATTATGTTTACTTTAACTATCCACATGTATCCATTATATTTGCCCTTATGTATAAAAGTATAAAATTATGAAATTGTGGGAAAAAACTATTGAATGAAGTAAGTATATATGTCTAAACTGAAGTGAACACTCTGCACTGCTTACCTTGGACTTCTGTTTCTGTGCTTTTTATTATAGCCCTGAACATAAGACTCTATAAAAGAAAGAAAAAGACATCACTAACCACACACAACCAAATACTGGCAAAAAAACTGAGGTGATTAGGTGATATCTGGTATGCGAGCAGTGATTTAAAAACTGTGGTCACAAATGCCCCCTTCAGTAAGACACAGGCACTGCATGCGTCAAATTAAGTTTCGTTTCAGGTCCAAGCAATTATTGAGAACAGAAACTGGAACAGAGCAAGTAAACAAGATAATGCAAACAATGAATCCTTAGTGAATGGTTAGCACTAAAATACGGATATTGTTTTGAAACTATTTGCACTTTAATTACATTTTACACATCTACTTGCATAGATTTGTATTTTTGATCCAATGTTTTATCCAGGTTGGAGAAGGAATGAAGGAAGTTTTGAAACATGTAAAAACAAAACACAAAATAAAAAGTGTCCACCTTCGTCCTGACTGGAGCCATCAGAGGCAGGTTCATGGTACGCCTGCCGTGCGTCACTGCTTGGACCTGACAGAACAACATGTGCATTTTAATACAACTACGAAAATGAGCACAGAACTTTGCATAACTAAAGAAAATCACTTTTTTGTACAATCTATGTACCTTATCTGTGCTATCATAATTACATTGATAGCACATGCAACGCAAAACCATCTAGTGACAGTATGTACTACTCATGTCACTGCTGAGCATATGAAAGGTACACTGCGTAACTTTGCTGGTGGAGGGTACGTTACCTGCTTGTCTCTATGAAAATGTTGTTTTGTCTGGAATGTCCCACAGTATCGTATTAAAGTCATCTATTTCCATGGAAACAATCAGATAGCAGCACAAGGTCAAATTACTGGTTTTATCAGTGATTTTGGATCAGTAAAAACATTTGTAATTAAATACAGGATATGTGTGTTTAATGCCCTGTAGTTCAACATTCCAGGCAGAGCAATAACATCTTTATGTACACCAGAAAAGTTACACAGCGCTTTGTTAACTTAACCTTCCTCTATGCCCAGAGTCCATCGGTTTGAATCTCAGTATATGAATTTGAAGAGCATCTGTGCGTAGGCCGGTCATGATAACAAATGTTTAAGCACAAAAGAAAAATTAAATAAAAATAATGATAAACGAAAACGCTAAAACTATTTTATGCCACTGACATAGTAAAAATAAAAGGAGGATAATCCCCCCAACCTTTTTTTAATAGGCAGATATCAGAATGAAGCAATAATTACCCATCAAAGTTACTTATTCAACCCTCTAAAGCTCAAATCTTTTCATATTACAACTAAAATCTTATCTCTATAATTTCTGTGCACAACAGCAACCTTACTGTCCTCACTCACCTGTCCAGTTTGATCTCTATGAGGTTTTTGCTGAGTCGTGCTAAAATGAATAAATATTTAAAGATAAGGCAGTGAACAGGGAGCTGCGGGATGATGCCACTGAAAACATGCTAAAGTACACAAATAAAACGAATACTTCAGCGGTGGACACTTCTGTGTTTAGAGAGATTTTTGTGTCTCAATCCTAACACTCAAGCCATATTATTCTGATGCATAATAAAAATTAAAAACACCTTCATAAACTGAAGTATTCTAAATATAAAAATAATTGGGTAATCTTTATTTAATTAATTTGAATTTTAATAATAGGTTGTTTATTTTATGTTTTATGACTTTAATAAATGTACCTGTTTTGAGACATGGAGAGTTGCTTTTGTGCACAGAGCCTATTGCAAAGAAAATGTACACTAGAAATACTGAGCCCTAAAATATATTGTTCCAGCTATCATACTGTAAGATTGAAGTCAATATAGCAATTCTTTCTACAACTAGGCAAACTATACGCATTGTTATTCTTATTTAAGCAATTATGCAAAATAGTTGAATGCAGGATGTAAATCTTCCACCCACCACTGTCTGAGGTGAAGAAGCAGCACACTTTCCTACTCTGTGTGAAGACTGGAGGAGCAGACAGAAGGTGATTCCTACAAGAGAAGAACAGACAATCAGCTCTGGACCAGGCCCAGGCTAGAGATCTCACACATGTTCACCACATTATTTCACAATCACAAGTACAGGAGTGTGGTACCTGAGCTGCTCCTCTGTGCTCTTGTTCTCCACTTGCTTCAGAAGTTGGAGAAGGCCTTTTTCAAATGACTCATTGCACTGATGTTTTGGGAGCTGCAGAAAAGCATGTGTGTGGATTATTTAAAGGTGCACTATGTAGCTTTTTGAACTGTATTTGTCACCTGCTTGTTTCCATAGAGACAGCTTTGCTTAGAATGTAATCTTAATAAAGGATGAACATAAAGTAATCTTAATAAAAGGAGCTGTACCCGATATTTACTTCCTAAAAATGTGAAAAAATGAACTAGTTCATTTTTGGTACAAAGTTATTTCCCTTATCTTACGCTTTCTGACAGGTAAATTAGTCTATAAGCACTCTTCACAACTTTCAGTACTCAGTGTGAAGTTTTGCTGTGACGGTAACGCTAACAACAACCAGTATGCTAACTGTAAAATTCCTGATTACAGGACAAAGCTCTTTATTTTATAGATGACAGACAGCACATACTGGACATATTTTGACCTCAAGCGCTGCTAATACAATATATCTGCACTGGGGCAAGAAAACATTTGCTCAGATACATGGGGAAAAATCTCCTTAATATTAATTGATACTCTATTAAGGAAGCTACTGAAGAAGAGTACTTTTGTATTACTACTTGGCCTGCATCATGATCACTGAAATTGTTGTATTACAGCTCATGTGTCTGGGATATTGTGCATTGGCATACCTTCAAGAGGAAGTTCTCCAATTCCGAATGGGTTTTGGTAACACGGCTGGAGGAGGAGTCGGACCATGTCACCTAGAAGAGAAGGTACCGTTACAGTGCAGACAGTGCAACGTTCTTGTGCTTTTCCAAAACTATATTCAGTAGCAACAGCTTTCTCAATTTAACATAAAATTGGTAATTTTGATGAAAAAATGTTTGCTTTGTAATTCAGAGTAGAGTTGTCAAAATATTGAAAATCTGATTGGATTGTAAAACATCAAAACTAGACATTAGTTTTAAGAAAATAACAAACAGGACAAAAGTTGTCTTTCTGGAACAGCTTTAGAATAATCTTGAGCTTTATTATAATTACAATATGACCCTGTGGTAGTATTAAATAAAAGCATTTTTATTCTAATAGTGGTATCAATTTCAGTATAGGCTCTATTACTTAGTATCAAAATCAAGTGTAAATATAAAGGTTATCAAAGAAGTTTGTAAGCCAAAACTGCCATAGAGGCTTGAGTTGCGTACCTTAAAGTTGTACTCCCTGTCACCTTTTGTTCGTGAGATGCCCCTGAGCACAATTCTCTCAATGTGGACAGCTGCATAAAAATCACCAAAATAAATAAATATACTCTCATATAAAAATAATGTACATTTATATACATACACAAATTACATGATGTCATGATTAACCCAAGCGTACCTTCATTCTGAGAAGACACTTTTGACGACGGCACACAATGCTCTCCCAGTGACTGTAGCTCCTACATGTAAACACAACAAATGTATTAGTACTGTGTACTTGAGCATGTTTTGAATCCTTTGGCTCTGTTGTGTAGTTTTGATGTTATTCTTTTAGTGCTGTTTTTGACTACTGTGTTGCAATTTCCCGATTGTGGGACAAACACAAACCCACTTTCATATGTTTTAATCAAGGAATTAGGGAAAATAGTGAAAACAAAAATGTAAACAATGAGTCCTCGATGGTAAAAATCTTAAAATGATGAATGACATTAAATAATTAGAACACTGCTCGAACAGTTTGGCTTCTTCTTTATGGGTGGGCGGTGGCTTTTATAGAAACTACAATTTCTTTTGTATAATCGACTCAGAAGTTTATCAGTTAGTTAGGGCACCTGATAAAAATGTTTGCAAATGCGTGGAAAGAAGTTTCCTAGTTTAGGAATGGAAATTTAGCAAAGGATGTGAAGATAACAACGCAACCGAACCTTGAGGATTGAAATAACTTGAAGTGCTAATAACAGTAGGCCTATGTCTATGTGACAGTCACTTCATGTAAACATGGCTCATGTAATGGCAAGTACTACGAGAAGCCCACCTGCTATACGTCAGTTACGACAGATTAGCCAACTTAGCTCAGACTTGAGCCAAATGATCTGGTGTACGGTGAAAAGAATGAGCTGCTAACATAGTTATGTTACGCTCGATCTTAAACTTTTACCAGGGCCTGGGCGGTCCTCCGGAGCACACTTTGACGCTGCTCCTCTTCTACAGTGAGCTGGGTTTTGTCGAGCTGAGCTCGAAGCATTTGCCGTTGGTGGAAATGGAAAGCAGGGTGGAGAGACGCCATAGTAAACAGCAGCGCCAACTGCTCCAGAACCGCCACCGCCGCTTGATTCTGCTCCGAGCTGCCGTCTACGGGAGCCTCTCCGCCCTGACAGCGCACAGACAGTCGAGGCGGCGGAGCGGGGCAGGGCAAGGAAGTTTGGGGCAACTGGTTAGGATCTACACGACTCAGAGTCTGGAACAATATTCCAGCACATTCCCTGCTGTCAGAGCCCAGAAGAGACAGGCACACGAGCAGTTTGGACCGAACTACCGGGTCATTCACGTCCGTTAAATTCCCTAGTTCAATGGGACTGTTCGCCCGACACTCAAAGTCTCTCAGGATATGGTAATCTTTCCGAGCGAGGTCCTCGAGGTAGGAGCCCAGGAAGCGGAGCTCCAGGGGTTGGCACATGTGCAGCAACCCGCACATGAACTCTAAACGTCGGACTGGGTCTAGATGCAGGCCGAACCACTCGAACACCGTCTCCTTGTTTAGCGGCAGTTGTCCCGGTCCGTGGGAACTTGTAGGGGCACACACAGCCCTCGGGAGCCGTTGGAGCGGCTCGTCCTCGGACGTGTTTTGCAGTAGCTTCATTTTCGGCATTATTAGTTCCTCACGAAGGACATCAGAGCTGAAATAAGCGGCTATGACCCATGTGTGACGGCTCTCCGCTTCTTTAGAAAGTGTAGAAGCGGAGGCGCCTCACGAGCCGAGCTGTGGTCAGTGTCAGAAGTGTCAGATGGACACAGCGCAGACCGGAGCAGACCGTGGTGGAAGTATGGAGCAGACTGAGCAGGAGCAGCCTCTTCCGCTGTACGCTTCTTCACGCTGTTCTGTCACACGGGCTGTAAGCAGAATGGTGCTCTGCTGCCCCCCTCTGGTGACAAAATGTAGTGAGCACCTCACACTCAAAAAACATTATAAAGCTTAACTGAAGCAGAATATTACCAATAAATACACTAAAGTGAAACCATTTATCTTCATCATTACTGGTAATATTGTTGCCAGAGGTGAGTATTAGAAGTAGCCTAAATGGTAGACATTTTCCCTGTTTAATGTTATGTTATCCTGCTTAACATGCAACATTTTTCATTATTTGCAGTAATTTCTTAGGACCTCTTTGAGGCCCTCTGGTGGCTTTAGTGCCCTAAGCACCACTACTTAGTCCACAAATAGGGCTGGGCAAAAGTATTCCTACTTAAGTACACTGCTTGGCTGCTACCTCTGGTTGTTACTTTGTCTGTTATTTATCACAAAAGGTGCTCTTCATGCAAAGCAGGTGGAACCTATCATAACGTTTTCAAGGGGATCCTATAGATAATACAAATTAAAAGCAAAATGTCATATAGCTGAGGTTTATTCAGGCTATATGATGGCTGAGAGGATCCACTACTGGGCTTGAAGATCAATTGTATGACCCAATTTAGATCTTTAATCTGTAATTAAAATGAGCTAGAATCTTTATGTAATCATGATTATCAATTATCAAATGCTGTTCAATCTAATATTTCGATTGAAATTCTAGCTATTTTCTTTTTTGTGATGTCAGAAAAATGTGTAAAAAAAATGGCTAATGAAAAATATGGCAACATAAAGCAGGTAGGATTTTAGTGTAAGGATGGGGTGTCTTTTCTAACCATGACACTCACTTCTGTATTTATGTCTTTTTTGCAGTACTGTCTATAGCACATATATAGGGTACTGTGTTGAGTGTGTGGGCAGGGGGACCACTCCCACTAGTCCCTCCCTCTGCACAGTAGTTGTACTGATGACTGGTGCGGAATCTCACTTGGTTCTGTCAGAGCCTGCAGGGCACATGAGGTAAGAATCAGACTCTTTACATTATCCTGCATGTATGTCTTGTGTAATGTGCAGATAGGAGAGGTGAGACAGGTGTGATGGGCAGGACAGGTGTTATCAGGATGCATGATGTGGTGGTTTTGACAGGTGGTATCAGACTGACTAATGTGATGCATGGTACATATATGACCGGTGAATGTGATGGAAAGAATGAGTGGAAATTGGAATTATATGTGACCCAGAGAATAAGACAGAGTTGACCATGAGACAGGTGCAATGGGGTAAGACAGGTGTAATAGGAAGGACAGGTGTAATAATTGAGCAGGTGTGACCATAGTATGACAGGTGTGATCATAGTATGACAGGTGCAACTATAGTGGAAAAAATACAATTGGGTGGGACAGGAGTATTCCTAGTACATATAGTATAGTATAGTATAGTATAGTATAATATAGTATAGTACAGTACAGTACAGTACATTACAGTATAGTACAGTATAGTATAGTATAGTATAGTATAGTGTAGTGTAGTACTGTACAGTACAATACAGTATAGGATTATATAGTATAGTGTAGGACAGTACAGTACAGTACAGTACAGTATAGTATAGTATAGTATAGTATAGTATAGTATAGTATAGTATAGTATAGTATAGTATAGTATAGTATATAGGTGTTACATAGGGCAGCTGGTGTTATATAGTATGACAGATGTGACCATTGTGTGACAAATGTTTGTTGAAAACAGTTACTTACAGAACTGCTGTTGTGCTCTTGAGCAAGAAACTTCATGCAGCTTTCCAAAATACATTTATTTGTGACTGTGTCATTGGAGTAGTGATGAGCAATCCCATTATTTTTTGTTCCTGTCCATTAACAAGTCATACTACACCTTGCATCTTGATTTGTTAAGTAGAGTAAGTAGGTTAAGTGTCTTGCCAAAGGACGCAACAGATGTGATCCTGTTTGACTGTAGGAGCTACTTGTATTACTACAGTAAAAACAAATAAGTGGGAAATCTGAAAGGACTTGAAAGAGCATAGGTTTTATGAAGTGGTGACATTGGTTTCAACATCTGCACACATGGAATGCAGTGTGGGCCAGGGCCGGAGGAGGGCGATGGAGTAACCACAGAGCTGTGATTGTGGCTGGCCTCTGCTCATTAGTGTGATGCTCTCCGATGAAAGGATGCACATCACCCACAACCGCTAAGTGCACCTGGGTTTGGAAGGGACAGGCGCTCCGCAATTGTCTCTTATCTCTCTTGTTTGTGAAGAGATGCGAGTTTCCAAAGAACAATTCCATGTTCTATTTATAGACAACAATATATTTCTTCTGTTTTGTTCATTGTAAACTGCTATACTGATCTAAAATCTATATAGATCCACTGACTCTGTTTAGGAGGTGGGTTGCCTTACACAATCTAACTATAAAGAACTGGCTTAGAACAGGTGACATGATTTGTGCTCTTAAACACGTCTCAAGTATTTTTCTTGAGACTATACTTCAGACTGTCTTTTCTAACTTTCTTGACATTGTTTGTTAGTTGGTGCATTGTGCTGATTGATGTCATTACAAAGTATCAATAAAATTTTTTCTCTTTCTCAGTATATGGACATGACAGGCCTCATGTGAAAGCTCAAAACGTACAGAATTCCCTCACTGAGCTGCAGAGGCTGCACTAGCACTGACTCATCATTGATTGCAGGTCCTGGGGTTTAGATGAAGACCATTCAAATCATGTTTGAGTTTAAAACCAACTGGATTTCAGCATTGTAACTAAGAACTGAAATGAGAGACTCTTGTTCTATTTTCTGATTGAATAATATGTTTGAGAACTACTAACATATCTGGGGCCACTGCAAGTATCAGATTTAGCATTTGAAGGCATCAAACAAAATGTAGCTCTGAGTAAGTTCTCGAGTTCAGTAGAACAGTAGAATTGAAAGTTTCAAAAAGGAGGGCTATCCTCACTGCTCTTGTTCTCTTGTTGCTTGGATGTCTCAAGTGGACCACAACACCCTGCTACTCCCGAACACATAAGAACAGACCATCTCATCCTGCAGTTATATCACAGTCTTTCATTAGTCAGAAGATGGTCTCTAAGAGGTGTGTGACCAAAACCAGAGGGTCCTGTAGCCAGAAACAAAAGAAAAATAAATCACCAAACATCTATAAAAAGCCTTTACACATGATTTGGTGGACCAGAGTTTTGGATATCTTTTTGTTCTGGTTACCAAAATTGTTCTATAAACCACTGAGTTTATTGACTCTGAAGAGACAATCTGTTGTATATTTGGTCCTTCAGAGCAGCTTGGGGTGGTCTGAGCAGATAGATGACCCCAGGGAAAGTACTGACGTTTGGAGGAGAGTATTTGTGATTCATATTTATCATAGTAAATATTATATATCTATATATTATATAATATCATAATTTGATCTTCATTTTAAAATCACATTACAGGATAGACTACTAATTTCACTAAAGCATAGTTAACATCATTATATGTAAGTTTTGAATTAAAAAAATGTTACCTAGTCTTTTCCGTTTTTTTTGTTCTTTGGCAATGTAATTTTTCTTCCTGGTTAGACATGGGCACCAGGATTCTGTTTTAGAACTCACTTTCTCACAACTTTCTGTATTTTTAAGGCCCTTCTTCTCATCAGAAAGCTGCTAAAATAATAATTTACAACAGATACTGATAAAACAGATACAGATAAAAAAAAACAAAAAAAACATGAAAAACTGTTATATGCATTTTATGTTATTTTCTAATCTATGTTATAATGTTGTTTCCTTATCAAGAACATATCTGGAGTTGTGTTTTGTTTCATTCACACATGTTTAACACACAAACCCTACATATTTAAGCTGTTCTTCTCTCAACCTGAAAACACGCTGTTCCACATTGTGATGCCATGTGCTACAGGAGGTGCTCCACTGTGTTTTTAAACCCCATACACCTTCACCAGAATCATTCAGCCTTGAAATTACAGATCTCTACTGAAGTAAAGATAAAAGTTGGCTGATAACTAACACTTCATGGCATCACAAGGTGGAGCAGAGCATTTTGAGCTTTGGAGATGTAGACAGACTAATAATGCAGGGTTACTTAAACATGTTTGAATGAAAAAAACACAGCTCCATATATATTCTTGATGAGGTAACAACATTATAATGGTGTAAATCTCACAAGAGTCAATTTTGCATAATATAGAATGTTTAATGAGGAGTCTAACATCTGCGTTTTAAACTGGTACCACACATAAGCTACCGGTCTCCTCCTGCTGACATCCACAGTACTAAACATGTTCATCGCCCTCACTAGAGTGTCTGAAGTCCAGGCGCTAATCTGTCCAGGCCCCTGTTAGGTAGTTCTGATATGCCTTTTCTGAAGAAGCCTGTTGTTTTATCTGGCTCTGTGGTTACTCTGACCATGTTTGCTCTGCACAATGAACCAAACCACCAAGAAAACATGGTGCTTATAAAGAGTGCTGGTTAGCCTGGATTTCACAAGAAAATCAAATCTCATGTTTATGCCAAGTCCACATAACAGCAGCAGACAGCTTTTATGGCCCGCTTTATGGACAGCTGCGACGCCCAAGCATGTGCCATGGTTTGGAGTTTTCACAAAGACAGTACGCACGCTTGGACTTTCTCTCAAAATGGTTGTAAATTTCTAACACTCCAAAGTTCTCAAGCACAATTTTATAACAGTTAGATCTAGTGACATACTCCAACCCTGCAGGAAAGGTGTGATGCTCAAAGACACAACGGTAACATGCAATAGTGAGAGACGGGTTAAAAAGTCCCTATATTATGCAAAATTGACTCTTGTGACCTGTAAATCATGTTATAATGTTGGTACCTCATCAAAAACGTAACAGGAGTTGTGTTTTGTTTCATTCACACATGTCTGAGTGACACTTTATTATTAGTCTCCAAAGTTCAAAATCCTCTGTGCCATCTTGTGATGTCATTAAGTCAACTTTTACCTTATATTCAGTAAAGATCTGCAAATCCCAGGGATGAAATTAACTAAATTATTTTAGTGGACGTGTATGGAGAGTTTCTTCTATTACCACATGACATCACAAGGTGGAACAGAGTGGTTTCAATTTGAGGGAATTAGAACTCAGCCTAAATATGCAGGGTTTGTGTGTTAAACATGTATGAATGAAACAGAACACAACTCCAGGTATGTTTGGGATGAAGAAAGTGGTAAAAAAAACATCTTGGTGTTACTGGCAGGGTGTCTGGGAGATGCAGGGTGCATGGAATTTTCAAATTTCAAAACACAATTGAAATTTGAAAAGAAACTGACAATACAAAAAACCCCCTCATCCAACCACCTCTAGCCATAAGCATTGCAATGCCAGAAGACGACAGTGCTAGTAAACCTAAATGAACCTGCTCTGAGCTTATGTGAATGCCACTTTTGTCTGTTTTGTGGAGGCGTGATCTAAAAGACAATGACATACTCAGACTGGATGGATTGAATGATGACTGTGCCTATAAAAACTATAAAGGTTTTCTCCAATGACCTCACAAAAAATTCACCCTCCAAGCTATTTTTATATAAAGAAATCTACTATAGTGAAACATGACCATGAAGTTTTATAATATTATTATAATTTTTTTTTTATCTTTTAGTTTAGATTTATTTTTAGTTTGTGTTTACATGTCACTTTACGAAGAAAAAAGATGAGTTTTGTACATTAAAGGTACATTAAAGATGCACTATGTAATTCAGCTACAATGATAAATTATATAAATACATTATTGGAGTCAACTGTCTATGGAAATGTTTTTTGTTGCCAGGAATGTTCTTCAATTTGGCAAGAAAGTGTAACCTGTCTCACACCAGATTGATATACATGACACTAAGAACTGACTTCTACACATTGAATGTTTATTTTTATTTATTTATTTATTTATTTATTTATTTATTTATTGGATCCCCATTAGTCTTTACTCAGGTAAATGTGATGGTCAAAGTGTCACAACAATGGAACAAGAATCTAACTTTTGATACATCCTTTTGAGAGGAAAAGACAGACTTTTTCCCTGTCCACAAATTCACAAAGCATTTACCTTCTGCATGTTTTTCACTACCTAAACAGTCTGTATTGGCTCTAAAATATGTTGTATTGATTTGTTCAATGTTCAACCTCAATGCTGCTCTGTGATTGGTCCACCAGGCCAACTGACTGTACATCAGGAGCCCCTCAAGATGCATTCTCATAAGTTTGTGAACTCACAAATATAGCAAAAATCTTGCTTGAGGTAATAAAAAATAATAACACCTGTAATTAAGTGAACTGTCCCGTGTCTTCAGGATTCCATGATTTTGAAGGAGATGTCAGGAGCCATGTTTGTGTGGGCCCTGTGGAGTGCTATGCTGCTCCTGTGCTCTGCAGTTGAGGACAAGGACAGTGTACGAGCTGGTAAGACTTTACTGCTCACTGAACCTCCATCGCATCACTTGTGGACACCATTCACACACCAACGGCATTACACATCCTAATAAAGGCTCTGTACTTGATTTCTACTGTCATAAAAATGTACAAAACAGAACTAGTTAATTTTAAACAATTTGCTGCGGTCCAAAGTTTTCCCTAACTTTCTCAATGCATTCCTTGCATCTTAATTATTCACCGCAGTGGGTTTATAAGTGGTTTTCACAATTTTCAGCAGTCAGAGTGGAGTTTTGCTGTCACGGTAATGCTAACAACAGCATGTTCACAGAACACCAGCCTTACTTCCTGGTTAGCAGATGATAAAAGGCTTTATAATTAGATGCAGACAGCACACAGTAGTTTTAAAGAAGACATATTGTGTTTATGTCTGCTATATAGTTATAATCTATGACGCCCGTGGATCATTATGTTACAATTTGCACATTTTGAATCGCAATATTTATCTAAACAACTTAAAAGAAACTCCACTGGTTTCCATGTTATGGGGTCCAATGGGAGCTAATGTGGCCATAAAGCACTGCATACTGTATGGACAGCTGTACATCAAGCCCACAAATTGCTGATTTTTGTACCAAATTTGTTCCAGAATGACAAATCAGGCAAGTAAATGTTAAGGGGAAACAACTATAACGTGATTAAAAGCTCTAAAAAGTTGATTTTGCTTAACATGTCTGCTTTAATTTTGACGCTAAGAGCCACTAAGATCTGTTAAGATCTGTAATGGGCCAAAAATGTTTTACTTTATTACTTGAAAAAAAAAGAAAGAAAGAAAAAGATTCAGCCCATTTAAATTACTAGAATACAGTTGAATATTATGTCACTGTGTAAAGGCTGCAGCACTGCTCAGAATGACCTGGTCTATATTGTGGATGGCTCCTGGAGCGTTGGCCCAGATGACTTTGAAATAGCGAAACAGTGGCTCGTCAACATCACCAGTAATTTTGACATCAGCCCTCAGTACACACAGGTACTACAGTTACTACTCACATACTATTCTCAAGCACCTGAGTGTATGAACTTGTTGCTATGTGTTGTGTAGGTGGCCGTCGTGCAGTACAGTGACACACCACGACTGGAGTTCTCTCTGGGGAGACACCAGGGGGCAGCAGAACTCATCCAAGCCATTAGTAGCGTAGATTACATGGGAGGAAACACTCAGGTAAGACCCACTCCTAATACATTGATATTTGCTAGTGCACTTGTGTAGGAGTGCCAATCTCTACAGAACTGAAGGTAAAAGTTAACCTGAAAACTACTACTTCATGATGTCACAATGTGGAAAAGAGCATTTTGAGCTTTTGAGATGTAGACACACTAATAAACCAGGTTTACTCAAATGTGTGAATTAAACAAAGCTCAACTCTGGTATGTTTTTGATAAAGAAACATTAAAACAAAAACTCAAAACTCCAAGAATCTATTTAGTGTAATATAGGACCTTAAAAATGTGTAAAAGAGTTATTTGTATACTCATTTATAAGTAAATCTACTGCGGTGTTGCCCAGTTTATAATTAAGGAAAACGTATAAAGTAAATACTGAAAATACAAGGCCTTCTCAAATGAGTTTTTAGAAGCATTTTCGACCAGTCTTTTATATAACACTTGATTACACACATGGTTTACAGCTGAATTAAGTAGATTTAAACTGCAGTGCACATATTGTCTCGGCTCGGACAATGAGAACAGACGATGCAGTGCTCTTGCAACTGTGAGACAACTGTGGATTGTTAAAATGATTGCATACACAGATGACAGTGGTATTTTGTAAAAAGAGCAGTGTTTGAAATGCTGTACTCTGTTCTACATACAGACAGGTAGAGCCATCAAGTTTGCAGTGGACCATGTTTTCGGCTCATCCCACAGAGGCAGCACAGTGAAGAACCGCATCACTGTGGTCGTGACAGATGGAAAGTCCCAGGATGATGTGGTGCGTATGTCAGATCTCCATGCTCTCTTCAGGTTCTTGTGCTTTTGTCTAACAGCCATTGTTTTATAGGTGGATGCCAGTGAGGAAGCTCGTGCACAAGGCATCACCGTGTTTGCAGTGGGGGTAGGATCTGAAATCACCACATCAGAACTGGTCACTATTGCCAACAAGCCATCGAGCACCTACGTCCTGTACGCCCAAGACTACACCAACATCGAGCGCATCAGGGAGGCCATGCAGCAGCGCCTCTGTGAAGGTCTTCTACACTCTTCAGTTTATTATACTTATATATGTTACTTTGGATTTTAAAAGAGCAGTATGTTTTCTGGTGGTGGGTTTGTCACTTGGTTGTCTCATGAAAATGTTAATCTTTCCTTAGAATGTTTTATGCCATTTTGTGGAACATTCCAGGCAAAACAACATTTACCTGAAAAAAGGAACATTTCGAACCCCCACTTAAAAACTTAACTGAACATATTGAAATGTTACCATCCACAAGTTATTTTTTACCTTGTAGATGGCAAATGTGAAATCTGTTCCCATCTCTCCTCACATGACCTTTGTTCAGGCTCCCTTGTGCTCTCTGTCCTTCGTTTCCTGCCAGACAGCAGTAACATAGATAGCATCTAGTGGAGTCAAGTGAGAATGTAACAGGGTCAGTTTTTATGCTCAATTATTTTTAGAGTCTGTGTGTCCTACTCGTATTCCTGTACCATCTCGTGATGAGAAAGGCTTTGAGCTGCTGCTGGGCATGAACATTCCACTGAAAGCCAAAAGCATCCCGGGATCTCTGTCCACCGTGTCTGCTTATTCCCTGAGTGCAGGTGCTGACATCACAGAGCACACAAGGTATTTTATTTATGACCATGCTGTTTTGTAGAAGGAAAAAAAAAAAAAATTCTTTCTTTTTCTTTTCTTTCTTTTTTTTCTTTCTGTTTATCTTATCTTTATCAATTTATTTTCCAGGGAAATCTTTCCTGAGGGCCTGCCTCCGTCCTATGTGTTTGTGGCCACCATGCGCCTGAAGAGTGGCTTCAAGTTGACCTTTGACCTGTGGAGGGTGCTGTCCAAGAGCAAGGAGGTCCAAGTAGCTGTGACGCTGAGCGGCCAGAACAAGACAGTCACCTTTACCACCACAAGTGTCACAGACAGGGAGCAGAGGGTCCAGTTAACAGGTTTCCAGGTATGATGTTATGATGCTTTTTTCAGACAACTTTACATATTTACAATGGAATTGTTCATATTACTCGCATTGTGTAGTACCGTGTAGTATATTCTTTGCAGAGACATCACGTTGGGGGTGTAATGCATATATGTCTTTGGTGGAATGTTCAGCAATTACCACACTAAAGACAGCCAAAAAAGTTTCAAATTAGTCTCAAAACTCAAGAAAAAAAATTACAGAATGGATTCAGACAACACATTTTCAGGTGCCTGTGATCATTATAAACCTTAATGGTTCTGTTTAGGTGTTTGATTTTCAACAAAAAAGGCTAGAGTGACTAACTGAAAAACTGTTGGCTAATGCTAGTTAGCTTGTGACTGTAATTTTATTTGAGACGGATTTGATTAACAGCACAAGAGCTGAGCTGTTATTATTCTAACTAACTATTTTATTATATATATAATCACACTCACAGGGAATGTTAATGACATCAGCTGCATTTGGCAACCTGGTATCTTCATCGACTTAATCAATGCTTATATTACATTGTTCTCCCTGCCAGGCCCTGTTTGATGGAAAGTGGCACCAGCTGAAAATACTGGTCAGGCCCAGGCAGGTCAGTGCTTTCCTGGATGACCGCCTCATTCAGGAGGCCCAGCTGCAGCCAGTGGAGCCCATCTTCATCAACGGACACACGCAGGTCGCCAAGAAGAGCCGCACGGACGTCACTGTCCCAGTAAGGAGTCTTGATGGTCTCAGGGGACTACAATAAGTTGAAAACATAATGGTTTTCTGAAATGAAATCCATGGTGAGATAACATAAAAGTAGAAAGGTTTAATATAGTTCAGATCCATAATGTTTTAGTTTAAATGGTATTTTAGAAATGGGCTATATTGCGCTTTTTTTAAAATCTATGTTATAATGTTGTATCCTCATCAAAAACATACCCAGAATTGTTTCACACACAAATCTCACATATTTAGACTGACTTATACCTTGGTTCCACCTTGTGACATCATGTGGTAGTACAAGATGTGCTCCACTGTGTCCACTAAAATCATTAGGATTATTTCAGACCTGAAATTGCCAATCTCTACTAAACAAACTTCTGCCTCATGACACCACAAGGTAGAACAGAGGATTTTGAGCTTTGAAGATGTAGACAGACTAATAATGCAGGGTTACTCAAACATACATAAATTAACCAAAACTTCAGGTAAGTTTTTGATGAGGTAATAACATTCTAACATGGTTTAAAGCACACGAGAGTCAATTTTGAGTAATATAGGCCCGTTAATGTCTAAATACAATGTTGCACAAAGTGTACATTCTCAGAATTAATTCCTCAGGTTTTTTAACCATGCTGTATTTTTCTAATGCTGGTCTAGAAAAGTTTTTTTTAACATGGTGACATAAAGTTGCATGATTTGAAAGAGCTTAGACCTTCACTGGCTCTTATAATTTTAGTTTTTTAAAGTGTATATATTTCCTAACTAATTCCTGGCAAAGGGGTTAAGGGTGGTGAAAAATTAAGGCCAGTGCTAAAGCAATGAGCAACTGAAATCTTTTGAATGGTCAAAATGTCACCTGAAACAAAAAGAAGCTGAAACTCATGAACAGCCATGGGTTTAGACCATAATGATGACTAATTCTGAACATATATCTTCAAAATGGGAAGTCTTCAAAGTATAACAGGAAGCTGAAATCCAAGAATAGCCAGGTTACACATTTTATTGTCATAATTCTTAATTCCACATGGTTTCCAGCAGAGGGCATTAAACAGCTTATCAAATTCTATGTGCTGAAGCAGAGCACAGTAACGGTGTCAGGAGTATTAAAAATCCCCATAGAGAATGTTGTTGTTGTGCAGGTGGACCTCCAGAAGCTGCGTCTGTACTGTGACCCTGAGCACAGTGAGAGGGAGACGGCCTGTGAGATCTATTCTGTGGTAAAGCTTCTGTTTCTCTTGAAGTCACTGGTCTCTGTGTCTGATGCCCCATAACCTCCTCTTTGTCTTCTCTCTTTTGCACCGGACAGGATGATGAGAGGGTAAGTATGAGACTTCAGCACAGATGGTGCACACACTCCAGTTTTTGCAAATGCAAACGCCACACTTTTATCTATGATTTGCTCTTGTAATCCATTAAATGTATTAAAATAATTATTGAAATAACTGCTTGAAATAATTCAAGATATTTTTGCATTTAAGTGAACAATATATTAACATGTGCTTTGACATCTCTACATGCACTGTCCCCAGTGTCCTCTGAACCGAACGGCCCCAGAAGAGCCTGATGATTGTAACTGTGTGCTGGGCCCCCCTGGGCCACGCGGGCCCCCAGGACGTATGGTACATACAGCTGCTCCTTATCACTGTGCTCCTATATTTAGTTATTTTGGTGCAGAGGGGACAGACCACACCCACGAATGAAAGGGAAAGCAGGCAGGATCTGATGTGGAAATGTGGCTATTTGGCAAATCTGTATTTTACTAACCTCACTCTTAATCCCACACCCTCTTGGTGACATGACACATATGTTATCTGCTTTAGATTCAACTAAATATATCTTCAAAACATGTACCATTCCACTTTGGTGGTCCATGTTACTGCATCATATCCATCAGGTGAACACATGCTTCTGATTGGCTTATGTGAGTTTAGTAACTGTCAGTCTTGTGTGCAGGGTTTTCGAGGGGAGAAGGGTCGGGAGGGGCCCCCAGGCCCTGATGGGAAACCTGTAAGTGCTCTTTCATCTCTTTCTTTATTAAACTCTACATAGAAGATAACTAAATGGGCATGTGGCTTCATGTGCAGGGCAAAGACGGAAAAGTAGGAGCACCTGGGCCTCCTGGAGCACCTGGGAACAAGGTCCATGGATATTCTTCATTTAATGAATTAAGCACACTGCTGTTAACACATAGTAACAAGTAACACTGGGCACATAGCTCATTTTATAATGGTCATAATATTCTCCTGTTTCAGTGCTGAACTCACTCTAGCCCCACTTAGATGTTTTTCTGATCTGCACAGGGTGAACCTGGACCCCCAGGACTACAAGGAGAGACTGGTCCAAAGGTCCCAAAGTATGTTGAATGAATACATTACATTATTGATATATTATACTTTGGCTACAAAATTGAAACTGCTTGTTTCCAGGGAGACCCCGGGGAACCAGGTGTGCCTGGAGAACCCGGACCCAGTGGACCAAAGGTAATAATCATAACATAGCACTAGCTTGCCTGCTTTATCTTCAGATTGTGTGTTTATATGTTAGAACTGTTTGGTTAGCTGTGTCTGTGTTAGAGACACTAGTATGGAGCTAACAGAGTTTATTTCATTCATTCTCTTGAGAGAAATTAGGCCTGAATGCAGTTTGAACTTGGGCTGGGTATCAATAAGAAGTTGCCGATACAATACATACCTTGATGCATAGGTCATGATATGGTACATATCTCGATACAGTGAGCTGTAATAGTCTTTGTTAAACCACATTTTGTGGAAAGTTAATATGAAACATATCCATTTAACTCATTAAAACAGTGAATATGTCAAATGTGTTGCATAAATGAGTTTCCTTCCTCTAAGCAATACAAAATAATTTTGTAAAAAAATACCAAAAAATACTCTTAGCGATATATCGATACAGCAGTCCATGATATCGATATTATAGTCCATAATTATATGATATATTGATATTTTTGCACATCCCTAGTCTGAACTAGTCTGTGCAGCTTGTGAATGTTTAGATCTGGTAAAGTTCAGCCATAATAAATAAGTTTGTTGTTGTCTTTGTTTTAGGGGGTTCCTGGTGAAAGGGGTGAAGTAGGACCACCTGGAGAACATGGACCAATGGTAAACTTGATTTGAGAATTGACTTTGGTGTCACATTTATTGTCACTGTTCATTTATTTAAATGTTGTGTGTGTGTGTGTGCACAGGGAGACCCTGGACCTGTGGGGAAACGAGGAGAAGTGGGGTCCCCAGGACAAAAGGTAAGGCTCAGACAAACTAAAGAAAGTTAAAAAAAAAAAAAAAAAAAGAGAGCTGGTTCAATGGATAACAACTGTCAAAACCCACTGGGGTTCCTGAGTAGATTTCTTCCCGGTAGATAAATGACTCAAATGCAAGCCCAGACCCAATAGTGTTTTTTTTGTGTCATCACACTAGATCCACATTCTTTTGTGTTGACCAGTCAGTAACAGAATTCAGATTTGACCTCAAAAAATGTGTTGGGAATACAGTAGTATTCTTGTGTAGAATCAAAATTACAGTTTCATTGCCATTGTGAGTGAACAAAATTCTTTAAAACTAGGGACTTGCTTAGACGAATAATAAACAAAATGTATAGGTCTATCTAAGTCTGGGAGTAGCGTATCCTTGGACATTCATTGGTGAACAAGAAGCCACATCAAACTGACCTTTTTGACACACTGAAATATATGACATTGTGTCGCTCATTGTCCTCTGGTTTAGCCGCCTTGTCTGTGTAATTAAGGGCTTGTCATTGTGGTAGACCCACACTCTACTGTATGTGCAGTGTGGCTAGACACTTCAAATAAAACCAATGAGTTTCCTCTCTGCCAACAAGCACAGGGCCTAGCCAGCTCCTCCCAGTCTGTCCCCACCGACCTGCTAACATCATTATCATCTTTTATACCACTAGCCATATACTATATATATATATATATATATATATATATATATATATATATATATATATATATATATATATATATATATATATATATATATATATATATATATATATATATATATATGCTAAATGCTTGATTTTGTGCTCCACATTCATTTGGGAGTCACTTCTCCCAATTTATACCTAGCAGCATCAACACATTTTTACTGTTTGATATGAGAATACAAACTACAATGAGTCTCACTGAAATACATTATTATTTTTCCTCAGGGGCTGAAAGGTGACCCTGGACCTATAGGTCCGGCTGGACTTCAGGGGGATCCGGTAAATGTTTTCCATCTCATAATGATAGTCCAAAATGGTAGAAGCAATCTAGTACATATAGGGGGTGGAGTCCTTTAGTTGACTGATCACTCCCATTGTTTTTTAGTCCACCATTTTTTATTAGTCAACTAATTAATTTTATTAAGAGTATAAAGAGTTTATGTGGACCACAGTTGAAAGAAGAATGCATGCATGAGTAGTGAGTTATCTGGAGTTTAGGGAGTGACTGGAACCTTTATTCTGCCTTTCACTTTTGGCACTTTTGAAGGCTTTTGCCAGCACAACATCATGTTCCTTTTTTGCTGATGAACTGATGCACAGAACATGTCTTAGCTGACCAAAAACTATTTATGAAATGATACAGCACCCTGTGCTGATAAATTGTGCTTCTGGGTAGGATAGCTACATATGTCAACAGTGGCCATGCATCCACGTCATAAAGACAAGAAAATGCTGTTATATTTGCTCACAGTTCAGGAAGGCCCTGTTCAAATGCATTTAATAATAAACAGTCTCCAGAGTTAATGCACAGGGCAGTATTAAAGAATAAGACACAAAGGGTCTTTGTAAAGAAGCATTCCCCGACACTGCTGACTCTGGTTGGCAGCGCTTGAATGAAGTGGTTTCATGTTTATGTGCATCCTCTGTACACTGCTCAAGTCATTATGTTCACACCCAGTCTGTATACAGTCAGTAATTCAACCACAGTGGTCACCCAGTGCATTGTTTTGGGCACTCCATGGTCTGATAAGTGCTGAGAACTGTGTCAGGAAATGGAAGCCAAAACATGACACAAGGCTCAGGTTAACAACATAACTGATTACCTATTATAACAGGTTACAGGTGGAAATTGTGCCACTGCTGTGCTCAAAATCCAACACATACACTCATGCCAAAAACAAAGTCATTTATACATATGCATAATAAATAAAAGTGATTTCACACTCCAAACAACTGCACAAAACTAATCAAACTCTGTTGTGTTGTAGGGTGAGCCTGGAGCTGTGGGTGCAGCAGGTCCTTTAGGTCCTCAGGTACGTTCACTGTGCACAATTATGTGTTTGCTGTGTATCTCACAATTTCTTACTTTGCTCAGGGAGACAAAGGCCACTCTGGACCTCCAGGGCCAGCTGGTGTTAAAGGCACAATGGTTTGTAATTCTGCATATTCTTAAATTAGTGTTTGTGACAAATAAACCATATTATTTTTTCTCTAAATGAGAAGCCAAGTCTGGTTCTGCTCCATGGTTTTTCCTTCTCTTACAACAGGGAACACAGGGTCCCCCAGGACCACCCGGACAAGCTGGACCTGAAGGAGCCAAGGTTTGTTATATGTATCACAAAGTTACTTAAAATGGTTTGGCATATATGATGACTAAACGCCTTACTTCTCACATCATCCATCATAAGAAATGGAAATAAACTGTGTGCTCTATAAAACAGATTTTAATTGAAGACAATAAATGTTGAAAAAAGGTGCTAAAACTGCTCTTTGGGGAACACCTAGAGGGGAAGCAGACTGTAATAGCACTCATATATCACTCCAAATCAGTAAATCAATGTCTGTGAGTAACATTGATATCTTTCTTCTGGTGTTCAGGGAAAACCTGGAGATCCAGGTGCAGTTGGAGCTTTGGGTCTACCTGGAGAAAAGGTAACTCAAAGGCACATTACAAATTAGATTACAGTTAGATTAGATAACAATGACTTTCCCTTATGTGCTGTGATTCTAAGCACGGGTTTAGGGGCACAATACCAAACCTGCCCTATATACACGTGACTCTTAGTGAACACATTTTCTTAAATGTTGAAGTTTTGCAAATTGTGCCATCTGCAGGGTTGTTCAGGAGAGCCAGGTACCCCAGGTGTACCCGGTAGAATGGGGCTCCCAGGTATCAAAGGTCATAAGGTGAGTACAGGGGGCAATGTATGGAAGTACAGTTATGTCAAACAGTGAGAGGGATGAACAAACTGAAATATGTTTCAGTAGCTGGAGGACAGCAACTCAAGAGACTAGGGTTTAAATGTAACTGCATTTGATATTAATGTTGAATATTAAATGTATGGTTTTATCATTTGCAGGGAAATGTTGGGGAAACAGGCTGCAAAGGTGTACAGGTATGCCCTCTTTATTGTATTAACAGTTGTATTGACTGTCTGCCTGTGCTGCCTCCTGCTTGTGTCCTCTCATATACAGTCTTCCTCATGTGTCTTCTCATGTACAGTCTCATGATCATGTATAGTGCAATGTTTTACCACAGGTGTCTCAAGGGGCTGACTTAGTTTTTGATATTGAACATTTGTAAATACTAAAGTAAAAATAAAAATAGAAAAGGAAATACAGGTAAAGCAATTAGAAAGAAACTCAGTGCACCATGTTGTTTCCTGTAGACACGACACAGCCTCTTATTAATTTTCTAAAATGCATTTATCAGACAAAGATTTGCATGTTTTTTCTCTTGGTGTTTTCAGGGAGAGAGAGGCCATGATGGAGATCCTGGAGAGCCTGGCTTGCCTGTAAGTGTGGTTACATCAGTTTTAGCTTTATATTTTACTGAACTCTGTCAGGAGTAGGTTATTTGTGTGTTATCCTTCTGTCTTTGTCAGGGTGATGTGGGACCCATTGGAAGGAAAGGAGAGGTTTGTGTTTTCTATAATACTGATATGACACCATCACAAACTGCTCACATCTTACTCCATACTTATCGGGGCTGTAAGCATGCTCTAGGTTCAGAGGTCCACTGGTAGATACTAGTGGCACACCAAGTGAAATGTACCTCCATCTTAACTGTGTACTCCTCAGAGAGGATTCCCTGGGTATATGGGCCCTGCAGGAGCTGTGGGAGCCAAAGGAGACACAGGCCACTCAGGGGTGGCAGGTCCCAGAGGTTTTCCAGGCCAAGATGGACCCCCAGGTCAGCCTGGACAGCCTGGACAACCCGGATACCCCGGCAAACCGGTGAGCCCTCTGCATTTAAGAGAATGTACCACACTGTTACACAGATATGTCACAGTGTTGGTGTTCTTAGGGAAAAGCCCCATCAGACGACCTTCTTCTGAAGCTCTGCACCCAGGCTCTGCGCAGTGAGTTCACCATATCAGCAACAGGCACTGGACAGGACTGTATTAATAAATATACTGCTTCACAATAAAGCAACCTGACAGTTTTTAATTCATAAATAATAATAATGTTTTTTCAACTAAAAAGTTCAGTTTGTTGAAAACTCTTTGCTAGCGGCAAAAGTTACAATGTTAGGTATCCACATGCTACATCTAATAAGGACATCTCATAGAAGTACTGACTAATTTTAACGTTAACTCTGAAAGCCGTTTCTTTTACTACAGGTCAGTTGCCTGTACTACTGCAGTCTGTCAGTGTTCCAACTAGATGTGCTCCTTGTATGAGTGTGAAGGGACCCCCTGGTGATCGTGGAGCACCAGGACCTAAAGGCTCTATAGGACCTCCAGGCTACCCTGGCACAAATGGAGTTACAGGTTATCCTGGTCCTCCAGGCAGGCAGGGAGATCAAGGCCTTAAAGGTATGAATGTTTCATAGACTAGTGTTTACTTTCATTCATTTACTATAAGACATCCACTACAGGGACCAGCAGTAGTCAGAGAAACTTATTAGTAACACTGTTAAAACATTGAAACACTGTGATATGTCCCCAGGCGATGCTGGACCTAAAGGGCAGAAGGGCAGTAAAGGAGAAGGTCATCAAGGGCCCCCCGGAGAACCTGGACAGCCAGGTACAGTCATCTGAAACATCTGTAACCCAAAACTAACTAAACTATTTATTTTTGTCAATTATTAAAAAAATGCTTTTGGTAATGTGAAAGTAGTTCTATAGCTCAACTGATTGTATTGGATGAAAATAAACTCCCTATATTTGCTACCTTAGAGCAGGGGTGCTTAATACGTCGATCACGATCTACCAGTCGATCGCCAAGGTCCTGTGGGTAGATCGCCATGTCTCTTCCCGGACTCGCGTTTGGACTGGGTCTTGTCTCTCACTCAGCAAGTGCGATCATATTTCATTACGGCCGCTGCTGTTGGCAATAAACTTGTAGCGGGGTGCAGGAGCGTGTGGGGCGTCTCAGTGCAGCCTGTGCGCTCATTTGAAACCCGCTGAGATTCTACGGCACATCACAAATACACATGCTCCCTATGCACGACTCGTCTGCAACAGCGTGTGCCCTCGTGTACCGGCGTGCATCACAGGGCAGGTTAAACTTCCTAAACATCCTATCTGTCCATCTCCCTCACGTCAGCACGCCCCCCCCTCGCCTTTTCACACTCTCGCTCCTTCCTGCGTACAGCGAAAACAAGCCCCTTCCACAGTGCGCGCTGATTAGAAGAGCAAGATGAAACGTGAAGCAAAAAGGAGTCTAAATTTGTACTACAGTGTTGGCACAAAGCAGGCCTACAGCATAGAGCAGACTTACAGAACAGAAATACTGCAACATTTGGCTGAAGTTTGCCTAACAAAAGTGCACAAATGCATCTGTGTTTGTCACGATGTGCGGTTGGTTTGGTAAACGTGCAGAGGCTGGTAAATATCACTGCAAAACTAGAAAAGAATGCAACTCCAGTTTGGAACTTTAAAAACAGATTTAAAAATCTTCCTTCACTTTTTTCACAGTTTTGTGTAAAGTGCCAGAGGAAGTTCTCTTAAAGAAGGGGTTCTCAAACTGTGGGTGAGGGTCCAAAAAGGGGCACAGAGTGTTTCAGTGCAGTGCAGTTTGCTTGGCTTTGTATTAGGTAGATCATTTTGACTTGGTCATTTTGTAAGTGCTGAAAAAAGTGTGAGCACCCCTGCCTTACAGGATAAACACTATGGACTTTGATTATGTTTGGTATATCCTAGGATCACGAGGTTTGCGAGGCTTTGATGGAACCGGCCATCCAGGAGTCCCAGGTGCTCCAGGGAAGCCAGGTCCCCCGGGTTATCCTGGCAAACGAGGGGGCCCTGGTCTGCCAGGGGTGTGTGATGTCTCCATGTGCTATCAGAACTACAACCTCAGGGACCACTACAGCAAGGGCCCCAGTGAGTGAAGCCAGGGGTGACTTCAGACTGAATACTTGCTCTACCCTGTGCAGTCTGTCCTGGAGTCTCACACCAGGCATTTATACCATTACAGTGAGGCACCATCCAGTGCCCTGAAGGACCACCAGGCCTATACCTACTTCTAAAACTTCCATCTTCTGAGAGCCACACATGGAAACACTAAACCGATTACATTCACTTATATTTATTTTATACTTTCTGAGATTGCTGTAACTAGAGTTTTGATATGTTCAGTGTATCCCTCTCACATGAGAGGCAGATAGAGCAAGAACCTCCTCTGAACATGAGGACTGTACTTGGTCTGTACCCGCTGAACAGGGTTTTATGTAGCTGTGGGTGAACAGTGAGGAGTGGCCCACAGATCAGAGAGAGGCAGCGATTGTATTGGAGTCATATGTATCATGTACAACCCGCAAAGAGCATCTGTTACTGTAGTGACCACACGTGTGATTGGACATTACTTTACTACAGCACATGTCCATGTGAGTGACTTCTGGAGATGAAGATAATGTATGGACAAATGTATGTCAGAGCCCCTGCTCCACTAAGAACTCAAACTATAGAATATCTCCTGCCAACATTCAGCCAGTATAAATGTTGATCATGTACAGCCATGCCCATTGGAGGTGTATCACTTAGTGCTGTGGTGGAGCCATTTTCCTTTTACAGTTTAACTGCATCTGAAGATTGAATATCTGTATTTTGCATCACTGTTGTTTATGGAGCTGTCCACAGAGAAAAAATAAAGGTTTCTCCACTCCTGCTAATAGGAGTTGCAGTGATAAGCTATTAACTGCATATAGTACCACTTCCTCAAATGTATTGATGATCACGTAGTATCTTTTCCACCCATGGCCTACATGCACCACACACATGTGGTATATACATTCATTGTTTTGTAGCCGCATGCAGCCAAACCTGCTTGTCAAAGCCTCATCTTGTCAGATCTCAGAAGCTAAGCAGGGCTGGGTCTGGTTAGTACTTGAATGGGAGACTACTGGGAAAATCAGGTGCCACAGTGCGGTGCCAGTGGCAAATAACTCGTTGTCGTTGTGTCCTTAGGCAAGACACTCCACTCACATTTCCTAGTGTGAAAGTGGTGTCAGTGTGAGTGTTGGTGGTTGGAAGGACCGATGGTGCAGATTGGCAGCCTTGCTTCTGTCAGTCTGTCCCAGGGCAATTGTGGCTACAATAATAGTGTAATGGAAATGTATATTGTGGAAAAAATTCTCTCAATCTGTCTTTGTGTAATTGAATGTGATTTCTAGGACCACCCCTGCATATGACAGTGATGACTACTGTTTTGTCTTTAACCAAACTGTAATCCACAGACTAAAAACTTTCAGTATGAAGTAACCTAAGGCCTACTGATTTTTTTTTCTTTCTGATTTACTTGTTCTTGTATTTTGACATGAGAACTAGAAGCATCACCACACTTTGCTTTACATATTATCAGGCATTGGGAAACTTGAATTTATTCTCCACAGTAAACACAGAATCACTACAGCTAACTACCAAACAGTCACTTGTCACAGTCACTCATATATATGGTTACTGACTACTGACTAGAAAAGGCAAAAGGGTGAGATTCCCCATGTAGATGAGTGTAAAGGCAGGCTAAGACTTTCTCATGAAACAGAGTCAATTCAAAGCAGAAGTACATCTCTTTCAGGTTTAAGAATGGCGATATTATGTTTTATAAATGTAAAATGTATAAAGAAAAATGTAAATTTATGTCTGTTCTGAACTGTGGCAACAGGACATTTTTCTGATTTAGATGCAGAAAATTGAGTGTGAGTGTAAAGTACAGTCAACTGTATGTTTGTGTGGCCCTGGGACCTGTCAAAATGTATGCTGTAAATTGTGCACTGTCAGAAAACTGTCAGCAAGAAAATTATCACAAAAAACTTGACTGTCTTGACCGTCCATGACGACTGTGCACCTGCGAATTTCTTTAATACTTTTTTTGTTACAGGAGACATGGATGCTGCATAATTTTCTCACCTTTTCTTCAACATTATGAAATAATCCCACACTAACAACACTAACAACTAACCACTAACAATTTTAACAATTTTTAACTAATTTCTTTCAGAAGTGCAATTTAACCAAAGCATTCTCTTACAGTAGAAGACAACAAAGCCAACACAGATGCCTGCTCAGAACAAAACTGACACATACAAATGTGTCAAAGGGGGAATATTAAAAACATTTGTTTTAAATCATTTAGAGACTGTTTTGCATTAACTACAAGACCGGTAAACTGACAACTCACTTCAAGACAAAAACACAATGAATGGTCCACCTGGGCCAAACCGAAAGCACCTTCCTGTGTAGAAGGACACATGCTTGTGCAGAAGCAGACCTGCATCATTCTTCTTTTTCCATCCTTCTGTTTCAAACTGTCATTGGAGAAAAACATCATGAAAGTTCAGCCATTCACTTCTTTTCAAAAGTCAACCTGTTCCTCGCGTGCCCAACCACAGCTCTGAAGATGGGCACATGGGTCAAAGGACTACTCCAGAAATGAGCTGAATCTCAGAGAGGCTAAGTTGCATGGGGAGACTACAGCCATGTGTGGTCAGAGGGAGGACAAACAGACAGAGGACAGGCTGAACGGTGCCACCATCAAATTAAAGCGACATTCAACTTGTGAGTACAAATCATATTGGATATGGACGAACTGAACTCAACAATCCTCCTTGAACTGTTGAATTTGCCTTCAACTTTTGAACTCAACAAACTAATGGAACTCATTTCAACTCCATGAACTGTGTTTAGATCCACAACGTTTCTCTGCATGTTCTGTTTGTGACAATGACTGTTTATAAAGTATGATTAATGAATAATCAAAAGGGAGGGTGATGGAAATGTATATTGTGTAAATGAATGTTATTTCTACTTGAGACCAGATCAGTTCTTAACATGTGTCAAGGCTTAGCAGACACAACTGTTTCCACCCTCAGGAAGCCCTTTGTTATACTCCCTATCCTCAAGTGTAAGTTAAGTGTAGTTGATTAGCACAGCAGGTCTGTGCAACTGAAGTCACTCTGCTTTGATATGCATGTAGCTTTGTGTTTCTATATAAATACTGACTTGGAGGGACAATGGGGTAGGAGACTTGGGAGAGGTCACTGAGAGACGAGACTGGAGAGGCTGTGGTTCTCTGACCAGGGCAGGCCTAGGTCCTGTCCATATCTGCTATAACAAAGAATAATAAACCTTTTTCTTTGTTCCAAAAACTCACAGGGCTTCGCAAATGAATTAATTGGTTATTCTTCAAGAAAGATATATAATTTACAACAGTAGCTTACCACCTTTGGCTATGGAATGAATAATGCACCAAACTGTAAAGCAACTTTGAGCGTCTGAAAAAGCGCTGTATGAGACTAATGCATTCTTCTTCTTCTTCTTCTTCTTATTTTTCTTCTTCTTCTTCTTCTTCTTCTTCTTCTTCTTCTTCTTCTTATTATTATTATTATTATTATTATTATTATTATTATCATTATTATCATTATTATTAAAAATCTGAAGAAACTACTTTACTCTTTTAAATGTTATTCCTTGTTATAATGAGATCACAATTGCACTTAAAAGCTTTGGCATTTTAGAGAAAACTGTGGGAGGGGGGAGGCAACTTTCCCATCTGTGAGAGGAGTCATGACTGTTTTTCTGGTCAGTCTGATAATAGCCTCCCCTCTCACTGTCCTGGGTCAGTGTGTGTACAACTAGAGTGTGCACCAAAGCATGGACAGAGGGAGAAGGACCTGAGCACGTTGGGAAGTCACCAAGAGGAAATCCAAAGTATGGTGTACAGTAACGTATAGATACTTTGCAGCTAATGTCTGTCTGTAGGTTTTGCTCTGTCTGAGGCTTTATTAGATTTTAATCTGTGCTTTATTTTAACCAAATCTGACCAAAAAACTACAACTTTATTTATAGGTGAGCTGATTTGTGTATCTATCACATAAAATTACACTTTTTTTTTCTTGAGTTTTCAGACCATCTTGAAACTTTTTGGTAGTGTTTGCTAATGCATTGTGTCACTCATGATCACTCCTAAAGTTTCCGCCATTAGAAATACAAGTAAAAAAAAAACAAGCATGATATCTCTGTTCTCTGTAAAGTATTAATAGTATAAATGAGGTGGTAATCAGTTTCAGCTATTTACATTACTGTGATTTAGACAATGTGTTGAATAGTTGTACATTTTACTTGTACTTGTAATTAAGCAAAATTCTAGCCTATTCTAGCCTGTAATTGTAGTTTGTTACATTTGAAAATGCACAAGTTACTGAGTATATTCTAGTCCAAAATTAATCAAGTTTTGTATTGTTTTAGTAGCTTTGAAATGCTACTAAAAAGTAAGCTAGAATTGTGTACTTTTTAGCAATGCACACTTGCTTTCTTTAGCTAAATACTGTATGTTCCATTCATTTGCATTGTAAGTTCAACTTGCAAGTATTTACTCCTACACAGATTCATAGAGGACTTGAAAGTTTATTTTCAGTTGAACTTAAAGTGCTTATGATAGGTTAGAGTACTCTTACATTAAAATATTGTTAACATAATTATATTTAAGATTTTACAAAGTCTATATTAGGACTATAATATTACAATTGTCATAAAAAACAGACCAGGAGTTGTGTTTTGTTTCATCCACATGTTTAACATACAAACCCTTGTTTAACAAATGTTACATAAAGTATGTAGAAGTAATTTGAGTGCTGTTACCTCACAACCAGAATATTAACAAGGGCCAACAGCTGATTAGACCAACACAAAACAATTGCAACACCTTTATTTAGTTTGGTTTTCCTAAATTCTCTGCATTTCATCCAGGGCGGTGCTTAGTGTTCCACATGAATCAAAGCTAACTAACTGCTGTGTGCTGTATTGTTTTCTTTAAGAGTTCATTTCATACTCAGCAGGTGTAATTATAGAAAATAAAGTTCCAGCGACAATGACAGTATTTTTCGTGATCCGTGAAATACAGTTAACTAATAGCTTAATTTATAATTGTTTTTTTTTTGTCAAAAAATTACACCTGCAGGCAGATCTAACCAAAATGTGTAAACCTGATCTTAAACCTTTCATGAGAATAACCACTAACGCAAACTGTTGCACAACTGTTTGACATAAGTGTGTTTGGGAGAAGTGATGATACTGATACATAAAGGCATAATTTTAGGTCTAAATGAAGATTTGTCTTTGTCTGTTTTAAGACTTAGCAGCACAGGTGATTAGGAGCACTGATGAAGTCCCGAAAATGTAATGCCAAGCTTTTAGGAAGTCTCTTAGTTTGTTAAATGAATGAATAAAAGTCTCAAGTCAAAGACAGGCAAGTCCAGCAGAAGTCCTCTGCTTTGAGTTTCAAGCCATTTCAAGTCTTTAAACTGAAATACCGAATACAGCTTGTATTTTTGTGATTTTTATACTTTTTAAACTTAAGTGTACTAAAAAAAAAGTTATGGTATATTTATATGCAATATTTTGGAGAAGAGGAAGCTTAAAGAGTTCTAGGAATTGCTCTTTTTTTAATGATAGTGTAAATCATTGCAGTAATAATAGAACAAATGAAGATTTACAAGTGCTTAATAACACATATTTTGGTATGTAGTCTGCACTGAAATGGAGAAAACAATTATAGCTGATGTAGTTTACTCTGGTTTTTAACTGTTGCTGTAACACTGCATTTAGTCATTTATTTTGACAATGACTTATTATTACTGCTGTAAGACATCTGAAGAAACAATATCAGTGATTCAGTGATTCTCAGTAACAAACTGGAAGTGAGAGAGATATGTTTAATTTTGTTCCTGTTAAATTAAACACCATGTGTATCATATGGAAAGAGAAAAGTCTTTTCTAAAAACATTTTTTTTCATGAGAAGAAGCATCAAGTCTTCTCAAGTCACAGGACTCAAGTACAAGTTAAGTCTCAAGTCCCCAAAACAGGGATTCAAGTCTGACTCAGGTGCGAGTACCCACCACTGGTTTGTCTACATCTCCAAAGCTCAAAATGCTCTGTTCCACCTTGTGATGTCATGAAGCAATAGTTTTCAAGTTTCCAGCTACCTTTTACTGTTTGTTCATTAGAGACTGGCAATTCCAGGTCTGAAATCATCCAAATGATTCTAGTGATTCTAGGTGTATGGATCTTAAAAACACTATTTCTGTATTAACACATGACATCATAAGGTGGAACACAGTGTTTTCTGTTTGAGACAAGAACTAAATATGTAGGGTTTGTGTGTTAAACATGTGTGAATGAAACAAAACACAACTCCAGGTGTGCTTTGATAAAAAAAAAAAAAAAAACAACAACAACATTATAACATAGGTCAGAAAATAGTGTAATATGGGTTAACTTATGTAAACCTAAGTTACATATTTAGTACAAGTCCCAATCAAAAAAAACAAAAAACAAAAAACAAAAAAACATGAAATGTTTCATATCAATGGAACATATGTAAAGATAGCAGGGGTGATGTTGAGACATACTTCCTTCCTTTTCTGACTGATTCTAAGAAAAGTTTGAGTCACCATCTCTCTGTGCAGAAGACAGGAGGACAGTATCCCTTCACCAACTCTCTAGCAACACAACCATGGATTTTGCAATGGAATCAACAAATGCAAGCACCGAAATGTACCCTGACTATAATGACAGTATCATCGACTGGGAGAAGCAGGAGAACCAAAGCTACTATATACCGGCCATCTTTTACTCCCTGGTGTTTGCCTTTAGCCTCAGCACCAACATCCTGGTGCTCATCATCATCCATCGGTGAGAGACATGTCTTCTGATAAACCAAATATGCGCTTTTTATCACATCTTACTATTAGCCTCCTTGTATATGAGTAAAGAATATAATTTTTAAATATTACTGTAACTGTGTTGTGCTTTACTACCACAAAAAGACATTTGTAATCACATATTTCTTTATAAACTTAGATCAGAATGGATGATAGTTTATGGATAGTGTGAGGTTTGTGTGTATGTTCATGACTTAGACATATCCTGTTTCTAATTATACCCACAGCTGTCTGTACAAGAGTGCTGTGCACAGAGTGTAGTCTGTGCTCACTGAAGCTTATTGTGTTGGTGCAGGTTCGAGAGGCTCACCACAGTGACAAACCTGCTGCTGCTGAACCTGGTGCTGTCCTCTTTGCTCTTCATCAGCAGTCTGCCCTTCCTGGCTGTGTACATATTACTGTCACACTGGCCCTTCGGCAGGCTCATGTGTAAGCTGGTGGGCAGCGTCTACTACCTGGGCTTCAACAGCTCTGTGCTCTTCCTGGCCCTGATGACGTTCGACAGACACTTGGCAGTGGTGTACTCAATCAGCTCAGGGAGGCTGAGGAGCAGGGCTTATGCTCTGGTCTCCTGTGGGGCTGTGTGGCTGGTCAGTGCCCTGGCCTGTATTAAACCCATGATTCTACAGAATCTGATAATCCAGGAGTTGGACAACATCGTCTTCTGTCAGGAGAACAAACAGCTGGAGACCTCAGTGCTGCAGGCGGTGGGCTTCTACATGCAGCTGCTGCTCTTCTTCCTCTTCCCCCTGCTCCTCATCATCTATTGCTACATGCGCATCGCCTGCACTGTGCTCTCCTCTCACATCGGCACCAAGTTTAAGACAGTGCGCCTCATATTTGTCATAGTGCTGTTGTTCTTCACCTGCTGGACCCCCTTTAATATAGCCCTGCTGATGCATGCACGTGCCTCCACTCCTGAGGAGTATGAAAAGTGGCGCTCTGTGCTGGTGGTCACTCAGAAGTTCGCCCATTTGTATTTTTGCATCAGTCCCATCTTCTACACCTTTGTGGGGAAGAAGTTCCAGAACTACTTCCTCATGTTAGTGGTGAGACGTTTCCCAGGACTGAGGAGACATGTTTCTATCAGTCAGAGCAGAACCAACATGTCCACTAAATCCACCCCCAATAGCCTGTAGATATATGTCTGGAAGAGTGTCTGTCATGATTATTTTCATAAAATTAAAGCAGTAGGAGACAACTGTACTGAACTGATTGATGGCTGACATGTATATGTACAAACCATTAAATATTATCATTTACATACATATACACACATTTGTGTCAGTGGTGGTGTTTCTCCTCCTCCACATAGTTATTCATGCTTTTCAGCTTCCTGTTTCTCTGTGATATTTGAGGACCTTTGCCCACTTAAAGGTTATAACATTTTGTTTTGATTTATTCATTGATAGAGCTAGATTTTTATAACTCTGAAACCCACGGACAGGGTTGAAGTTCATGTGACAGGGTAGACTACTCATTTAATTGAACTAAACCATTATTATATTTAAGATTTTACTAAAAACCTTGCGTAGGTTTTTCTAGTTCTTACATTTTGGTGTAAGTTTATAATTTTTACCTTCTGGTTGTCTAAATGACACAATAGTTAAAATTAGACAAATAAAAACAAATAACAGCACCTTTATTGTGTTAAATGCTGGTAAAGCCTCCCTTGCACATAAATTGTGTTTACTGGATGGAATTTTGTGTTGTTGACATTTTTGTAGCTACTTTTCTCGTCACTGCTACTTGAGTGTCAGATGTAAAACTATGATAGGCCTAGTTGTCACAGGTACTGTCCCACCAAACCAAGTAATGTTATAATTAGAAAAAAATATTAAAATATGCCCTTTAAGACATGCTAATGTGATTGGAAAAACAACCAGAAAAAACACATGAGGCATAACTGATTCTTCGCTGAACAATTAACATTTTGAATTAATTTACATCAAATTACAAATCTTAAATATCCAAATAGCAATTCTTAATGACATGATTTCATAAATGATAATTTCATAATTTCATCTCAATTAAAACGAACAGGCATTTCATATCCATTATTGTAAAGAAAAAATGTAAGAGATAGTGGGAGGAAAGCACAAAGAATTACATTTGAACCAATTTAAATATTGTTTCTAAGCATTTATCAAATAGTTTATAGAGAAGCGTTTTGGGTAGTCGAATAGTAAAACTAACCCATATTTTAAACGTGTCTTTTTTTTTCTTTTTTTTTTACCAAATAAAATGCTAAAATATGTTGATTAAAGGCTGGAGAATTTACAAACAGCCTACAACACAGCCTAAAGCCCAAAATAAAAGCATGCTTGTATTTTTATTTATTTTTCTCACTTTGTCTAGAGTCAACTAGTCACAGTTGTTGTAGCCCGACAGAGTAAAATAAGACATTTTACAAACTTAGTCATCTGCGTTTATCACGTCTCCAATTTCAAATCAATAGGACTCAGAGTACAGTGAACTTACTAAAACTATATAAATGTGCATTTATTATACATATTATATACATATACATTTTATTTATTTATTTAGTTATGCACAAAAAACTTTTTAACCACCAATAACATATTAATAACTTCTACTTACTGCTTTACATTTGAATAGATCCTTCACGTACAGTAAAGCGTTTTTGCCCACGCTATAGACACTCTTTGGTGTCTAGTGCCATCTCCTGGTTGCCTGACAGAGCCATCCCTCCAGTTCCTTGTATATTACACACAGTATACAGGAAGGATTAGGATGGCAATGTCAGGCAAATCTCCTGGGGCTTGGCATAATGATTCTAGGACTAAAAATGAGCAGCTTTTAGCTCTACTTTACCAAGTAAATAAATAAATAAATAAACTAAATAAAAGTAGTAATGTATACATTTTAGGTATAGGCTACTTTACTTCAGTTAGTTTTAAAGTGAATAGCTTTTTCTTTTACTTCACTACATTTGAGAAACTGTATCTGTACTTTCTACTCAATTTCTAAATGGACAAAAAAAAATTGTAACACGTTTGTAGTCTGAGCAAACAAAAATATACTATAAATAAAAACAGATACGGAAAAATCTATCAGTGCAGTTGTTTCTATTGAACAAAATTCAACATGAATCATTTTCAAAATTGATAATCTGTGTGAAATACCTTTTACTCTTAAGCATCACATACACAGGCTTGCCTCAGTAATGAATTTGGTGTATGGTGCTAACCCAACCGAAGGGACTCAGGTATTAACTGGGATTACTCAAATGATCAATAGAACATGCCTGTGTGTAAAGAACACGTAACATCACATACACTTGTGATTCTGCTTTCTGACTGGATGACCAATATAACCAAAAAACTAAATTATAACTCATAGAAGTGGGACATCATGTCCAAGGTCTATTTTGTATCCAGAGACACAATAGGGGCAAGTTTATAATGTTTATTTAAAGTTCCTTTAAATCTCAATTAAGTAACACAATTGAGTACTTAGCTTCCACCACTGCTGGATGTGATGTGATGTCATCTGAAATCCAGCAATGCAGTTCATGTGGCACTAATGAAAAGTGGGACATATTTTTTAAATATGCGAAGTACAGCAGTAAGCTCAGCAGCCACACCGATACTCTGTACAGAACGATTCTAAGGACCGATACACAATCTTTTTTACAGACGGCAGATCCACTCCGCGCCACGAGAGGCAGCACTCCACTCAAACAAACTAGAGGTTAAAGGTGGCGGCTCCCCACATGTGGGTTTGTTGTTGCTGTTTTTGCCGCAAATAGTCTCTTCAGGGTGAGTTGTGACTGATTTGACTATTCTTTTATTCTGTATTTCAGTTTGAACACTCGGGCAGTGTTAACCTCTTATCTTAACCCTCCTCCGTAGATCCGATATTCTCAATTTTTGTGTTTTATTTGCTGGTTTTAAGATGGCATGACATCATTCTAAGAGGTCTATGGTTCTTAAAAGAAATGGGTTAGGTACAACCGTCTACTGTGAGCGTGCTAATTTATTACATCATCATTTGTGACATCATGAACCTTGTAACTGTGTCTTGGTTATACAGGCTAAATCATGATGCGTTTTTTTACATGTCAAATCAAGCTGCAGAGGTTGTTTACAGTGAGTGGTGGATATGGTGTGGTTAGAATACACCAGAATACACACTTGTCCTTCTGTATGTACTGTAAATACAGAGGGATATCATTCCTGAAATGCCAAGCAGCTAAAACTCACCTCCCTTTTGTCAGTGGTCTGGACATCCTGGAGCAGAATGCGTAACCTGGTGCTGGTGAGGAGCGTGCAGAGCTGTGCGCAACAGCCAGGGGCCCCGCAGTGTGTGACAGTGCGCTGTGACAGCGGCTCTCTGCTGGGGGCCTCACAGTTTTCCATCACAGAGTTTGACCCGTGCACAGGGAAGGTGAGTGACAGATGCCCTTACAGAACTTTAACTTTTATGAACATAGTACTCCTAAATTTGCTCCTATAATATTATTATACTTGCTTTGTCTTGTTGTACAGGTGCTAAGTGAGGCTTCCCTGACTGCCGAGGGTTATCTCCCTGAGGATGGGAGTGGGACAGTAGTTGGACTACAGGACCTAGCAGAACTGGAATCAGCTTGTGTGGCCACAGCTGCGGGGGATGTCATCCTCTACAACTTCAGCTCCACACAGGTTTGTCAAAGAAATTAAGTGGCTCAATGAGAGCCATATATTCATGCTGCAGTGTTCATACACTCAGACAGATATGATAGATAGCAGCTCTGTAGTTCTAAGGAGATCTTGACTTGTTGATGTCTTGTCTTCACATCTCCTCTCCGCACTCTTCTGTCTAGTTTGAGTGTGTGGGAAGTGTGGACAGTGGCCTCACCTCAATGAGCTGGAGTCCTGATGAAGAGCTGGTTATTTTCACTACAGGTTTGTGTACTGAATAGTCAGCATGGAACAACAAGTAATAATAAAGTTGTGAAACTATTTACGTGATGTCATATGTACTTCAGGTCAGGACACTTTCATAATGATGACCAAAGACTTTGAGCCAATCATTGAAGTGGGGATTCACCAAGAAGACTTTGGTGAAGGTATAGCATCACTCCTGCACTCAATACGAAACTGATTTATTATATAAAATGTTTAAACTATACAATGAAGATATAATGGCCAGAACAGTTAAACTGATTTGTCTATTTACTGCCAAATGTTTTGCTTTCAGGAAAGTTCATAACAGTGGGCTGGGGGAAGAAAGAAACTCAGTTTCACGGCTCTGAGGGGAAGCAGGCTGCTCAGAAGAAGGCAGCGGTCAGTAGATCATACTGTTTAAGAAAAGACACAGATATGTAGTATGTTTTTAAGTGTCCTGATGATGTGCACAGGAGCTGCAGCCAGCCCCTGCCTGGGACGACCAGCGCCCCCGGGTGTCGTGGCGAGGGGATGGGCAGCTGTTTGCTGTGAGTGCAGTGTGTCCTCAGAGCGGGGCCAGGAGGGTCCGGCTATGGAGCAGAGAGGGAGTGCTCCAGGCCACCAGTGAAGCCATCAGCGGGCTGGAGCAGCCGCTCTGCTGGAGGTGAGGACAGAGAACTATGCTGTGAAGTAACTAAACAGCCTGTACTTAGGACATTTGTGCTGCATTCAGGCCCTCAGGAAATCTGATCGCCAGTACTCAGCGGCAGCACAACAAGCACTGTGTGGTCTTTCTGGAGAAGAATGGCCTTCAGCATGGAGACTTCACACTGCCCACCAGCACGAGCCAGACCAAGGCAAGAGCTCCACTTGAAAATCTCCTCACATGAGTGCCTAAGAATGAAATCCTGATGTAATGTAATGTGTGCTTTAGGTGAAGGAGCTCTGGTGGAACAGCGACTCCACAGTGTTGGCTCTGTGGCTGGAAGACACCAGTGGAGCTGGAGAGGGAAGGCTCAGCACTCAACGTAAGCAGCACATTATGCATTTTAGTCAGATGTCCACTTGTACAAAAATCAATGTGATTTACATTTTGAATGTTCTATTTGTATGATTTACATGTTGACTATATTGTGAGGTTTCTGACACTCTTGCCTGTGCCTGCAGTTCAGCTGTGGACGACTGGAAACTACCACTGGTACCTGAAGCAGAGCATGGTCTTTGGGGATGACCCTCAGAGAGCTCCAGTGTGTGTGTGCTGGGACCCTGTGCGCCCCCTGCAGCTGCATGTGGTACTGCGGGACTGGACCACACTCACGTACGAGTGGGGCTGGTCTACAGAGCACAGCAGAGGGCAGGGTGGAGCTGATGACGCCAGCGTGGCTGTGATTGACGGGAGTAAGTTATTGTGACGTGAGGGCGACTAAAGCCTGTGAACATTTCAGTAAATGTTGTTTTTATCTTCAGGTAAAATCCTTGTGACCAACTTCCGTCAGTGTGTGGTGCCTCCTCCCATGTGCTCCTATGAGCTCCAGCTAATGTCTGCGGTTAACCAGGTGGTGTTCTCCTGCCAGCCTGACCGGAGCAGTGAGCTGGCTGCATATACAGCAGACGGACACATCTCGGTGTTTGCTCCAGATGCAGGAGAGAAGGCCAGTACAAGCACCAATGGCTTCAGGACCTTGTGTTGGCCGCTGATCTCACACAGAGCATACAGGTAGACTTCACATATTGGTGTAGAACACACTGCATGAGCAGATATGTGAGTTCCCCTCTGTGTGTGCAGCATTGATCTTGGGCTGGAGCACCCCCTTGAGTTACATCACCTGCTGTGGCTCAGAGTGGACTTGTTTGTTGCTGTGAGGGCATCTCCAAGGACAAACTTTTCCAAAGTGCTATTCCTCAGTCCCTCAGAGGCATCGGATCAAAAGCTCGCTGTCAGGTCTGAAGACAAGAGAGAGAACAAGAATGGCAGTCATTATGCATTATGATAATTTGTTGTGTTAGTATGAGGTGATAAAAAGAAGTGCATTGTTTATTATTTTAGAAATCTACAAACAAACTTTTTAGAGCATAACTCTAAGGAGTTCCTCAAAGAGTAGTTCCACATGTGACAAGCCTGTGTTTTCTTGGCCTTCCGATGCAGGTGTGCGGTGGAAGTGTCTGGAGCAGTGGTCAGTGTGACTCACAATGCTCACAGCGACTCTGTGGCCCTGCAGCTGGAGGATGGAAGCATCAGAAAGCTCCTCTGGGGTCAGTCACTCTCTATCAGCACTTTATGAAATGAACTGCAATCACTTTAGTATGGCAATTGCCCCAGTAGGGTAAGGACTGAAGTACAGGGCATTACTAATCAAAATAACAAACTGTACCGTTTTGTAATATAACTGTACAATGTCTAATGTAAAGTTTCATATAATTATATTATAACATGTAATATATTACATGTGCGTTATGATCATTTAGCTGTACAAAATAGTAAAAATACTCATTAAAACTACTTTGTACCTCTTTCCTAACTAATTTAAACAATGTAAATGTCTGTTTTTTGTGTCAGACTGTGCTGAGCCGTGTGTGGAGGACTGGGAGGACTCCAGAGGCTGTTTGGTTCGCTTCCCTGTGGTGTGTGTCCAAACCGCACTGTGCAACATTGGACAGGAGGTACAACACAAAGAATCCTCTAAGACTGTAACTTAATTATTGGTAGAACAGCAATAACTATAGTTTACCAAACAGAGGACACTTACAAAAATTGTTTAAAAAGCCTGGAGAGGAAGAGTTGAATAACAGGATGCAATGTGAAGTTGAACTATTTAAATTTTGGGTTGAATTTATCTGTAGGAGTGTGTGCTTGGCCTGACTGACAGATGCCACCTGTATGCTGGTGACACTAAGGTATGTTATTAAAGCTTCTCTACTTCTTTAACTGTGCAAAGTATTTGCATACATAGACTAGCAAGCACTTGGTGGAAAATAATTAAAAATAAAGCTCTTAACATTTTAAAACTATTGAGTGATTTAAATTACTAACAACTTCAAGATAACTGTTAAAATAACTACACTTTAATTAGCCTTAATAAATCATGAACAAAGACTTAATTCATAATAAACAAATAGTTTATTAAGAATGATTGCAAGAAGTTTATGTCATAGCGTGTTTTTTTTTTTTCAGCTTGCCTCCAATGTTTCGTCCTTCTCTGTCTGCAATGATTTCCTACTGGTCACAACCCATTCGCACCACTGCAGATGTCTCCAGCTCTCCTCCCTGAGTGTTAAAGGTGAATTCTGTGCACTTTTTATCAGGCAAAACCCATTTTTATTACTAAGCTGTGTACAATGACAACGCTGATCTTTACAAGAGTGTCTTTCCTGTTTAGACCTTCAGGTGGCACTTGCTGTAGACGGAGGACAGAATGACGAGACTCTGCGCAGAGTGGAGAGGGGGGCTCGAATAGTCACTGTAGTGCCACAGGACACCAGGGTCATTCTACAGGTCTGCGTCATTACCTTATTATTCATCACCAGTACAGAGTTGTGTAACATTTTATAATAACTTATTACGATTCAGACTGAGGAACAATTTAATGAATAACTTAGGAAACACAGGCACTATTTACAAATCCTGAATCATTCTAAATCAGTGATGGGATTTTTGGCTCTTTTATGGTATCCCAATCTTTTGGATCAGTTCACTTCAAAGAGAAGTTCAAAAGACTGACTCTTTTACTATTTATTTATATGACAGAAGCCAGTGCAAGAACTCATTTTAACAACAAACAGAGACATCACAGAGAGAAATGACCAAGCCTCAGAAATGGTTCAAAGTGAAAGTGGGGTGTGTTTACCCATTGAAATTATGCATAATCTAAATAAAACGTTGCACTGCATAGTAATACTTTAAACTGTTATGATGCAAATATGTTTTTTGTGCATAAAGCTCTCACTCGTGTTGCCTCCTCTAATCTCTGTGTTCATTTAGCATTTGGCAGTATAAAAACTAGAAAGAAAATTATTTGGTTATTTTGAAATTTATAATTTCATCCGATTCCACAGTTTACATTAAGGAACCATTCAAAAGAGCCGACTCGATCGCGAATGTCATATCACTGTTCTGAATCATTTATTTGCTCATTATGAATGAGTCTTTGTTCATGCTTTATTAAGGCTAATTAAGCTGTATTTATTCTAAAAGGTTAAATAAAACTGTGTAGTTATTTAGCACATTGTCTGGTTTTACTTTGCGCAGATGCCACGGGGGAATCTGGAGACTGTGCATCACCGCGCTTTAGTATTGGCTCAGCTCAGAAAATGGCTGGACAGGTCTGTGTGGTACTAGTTAATACTGCTGCTGGGTTTGATCATACCTTATTTATCATATGTTAATAGTTATTGTGATGTTTATTCTATTCATTAGTTCATTAATTCATGTACATACTGAGAGCACTAACTATAGGAAAAATCTGACTGTGGTTGCATGCATACCCCAAATCTGATTAATATCAAATTTGTCCTTTTAAGATATATAAAAAATAATTTAAATTAAATGTAAAAAGCCAAATCATCTAATTGATATTTCTGGTTATGGTCTTTCTGGTCGCTCACATCAGATTTTGCAGTTTACTTGTTATTTATGTCATTTTAAAAGTCCTGAAATCAGATTATAATTAGGTTTTGGTGTGTATGCGAACAAGGCCATTGGATCATAATCTGATTTTTATGATTATTAATATGACATTTAATCACTAAAATCATGGAATTTCTTTCTGATCATGGTCCCTCTGATTACTCACATCAGATTTTGTTATTTGGTCATTTAAATCCTCTTAAAGGTCCAGAAAACAGATAGTAATCAGATTTTGTAAACATAGCCTGTAACCAATGTTTGCAATATCCCTGCAGTCCTTTCTGCTGATTGTTATACTTAGTTGTACTCCTTGAAAGACTCCACTGCCCCCTAGTGGGATTTATTTTTATTGTTAATTTGGCATGGTCTATGTGTCTACCTAAGAGTGTCGCATAGAGCTTAAATCAGCTTCATTTCACCAGTCCTCTTATGTTCAAAAACGATTTGTTCATTGTGTTTGTTTTTTTTTTTTTTTATGTGTTTACAGTCTGCGATTTAAAGATGCATTTATGTGTATGAGAAAACTAAGAATTAATTTGAATCTCATTTATGACCATCATCCAAAGGTAAGATTAGAATAGTCTATTATTTATATAAGAAAATGTCTAAAAAGAAAGTGAAAAAGACAATATGTTTTTTCTTCCTTTTTTCAGTTATTTTTGGACAATGTTGAGACATTTATCACACAGCTCGGCTCCATCAACCACATAAACCTGTTTATCACTGAGCTCAAGTAAGATTGAAACTAGACTATTGTGACTCACACAATCTGCAGTCATCCCCAATCTTTTTTGTTTGTTTGTTTGTTTTTTTAAACAGAGAGGAAGACACTACACAGACCATGTACCCAAGGCCAGAAGACTCGTGTCCCCCACCTCATAAAATTCCTGGGACAAAAGTGGATGTTGTATGTGATGCACTAAGGAACACTATGGAGTCCATAGACCCAAACAAGTTAGTGCTAAAAAATGAGTTGTTGAAAAATTGCCACAGGTTTTGATTCTAACTTGTATTTGCTGGGCAGGTATTGCCTGTCCATTTTGACAGCTCATGTGAGAAAGACTGTACCAGAGCTGGAGATAGCCCTGCAGAAAGTCCATGAGCTTCGAGGTGAGGCATTGTTCTACTTTCACATTTCAAGGCTGCTGGTAAGGGTTGTGTCAAAAAGTCCTCCCACTGTAAAATCTTAGATTTTTTAAAATATTTTTTTTACATAGTAAGTTTAGGTAAATTTCAACAAAAATATGAAGAAAGACGACTTGTCAGTCTTTATCATGCTCAAATTTAATAAAAAATAAGATTATCATCATAACTAAAAGGTGTTTGTTTGTTTTTTAGCATTTTTGTGTTTCATTTGTTTTAGGTAATACAAATTATGTTGTACATAATAATACACAATAGTATTGGAATATGGGATTACTTTCTCTCTGATGGTCTGTTTGTCTACGCAGTAAACCCCCCTCCTGCTTCGGCAGCTGTGAGTGCTGAGGAGGCCCTGAAGTACCTCCTGTTCCTGGTGGACGTCAATGACCTGTATGAGCACTCTCTGGGCACATATGACTTTGACTTGGTGCTTATGGTGGCTGAGAAGTCTCAGAAGGTACTCTTTCTAAAATATGTATTTTTTTATTTCTTGAATTTGCATAGATCTCATGTTTGTCCGTATACAGGATCCAAAGGAGTATCTGCCTTTCTTAAACATGCTGAAGAAACTGGAACCCAGTTATCAGCGCTACACCATCGACAAACATCTGAAGCGCTACAAGAAGGCACTGATCCATCTCAGTCAGTGTGGTCAGTACAAGCCTACTACTTTACAATCGTTTTGATGGCTTTTCATACATGCATTAGAAGCACAGCACCAGTCTGTTCAAACTGCATCATCAGGCAATAATATTTCATACATTTCAATAAGATAACATGATAACACACTCAAAGAACATGGTGGGTGTCACACAACTCAGATACAGTCTATTTGTAACTTGTTCTTGTGTTTGTTCAGGAAAAGAACATTTCCCTGAGGTGCTGCAGCTGGTCAAAGAGCAGAAGCTCTACACTGAAGCTCTGCGATTATTTGCTGCTGACAAGACTCACTATAAGGTACATCTGCTGTGGTAGCACTGTGAATATGGTTACCTTTAGCTGTAGCTCTTGAGTGAGTGAGTAGTTAGTACTCTCATCTCACATCTTGATTGTCACACATTGGATTTCTGGGGTATGCTTTATGGCTTTTCTTATGGTTTCCTCTGACCTGGTCTGGATGAACTACTGCAGTGTTTTCCTCACATGTAGTGTTTCCTTTTATACATATACTGTAAAGGTGTTAAGACCATAACACTTCCATCCCTATGTTGTCCCCAGGAGCTGACAGTTGCATTTGCTGAACACCTGGTGGGGCAGCAGCAGATGGAGCAGGCAGGGCTGCTGCTGTGGAGATGTGGAGAGACTCACTCAGCTCTGCAGAGCTTTGTGAGCTGCTGCAGCTGGAGACAGGCCTTGTGTGTGGCCCAAGTCATCCCTCTGCCCCCAGACCAACTGGCTCTGCTGGCTCGCGACATGGCAGGTAGGACACAGGGAGGTTGATGGCTTATTATAATTTGATGTTTTTATATCTACAGTATAGTATCTTTTACAAACTCTATGAGTAAATGGCTTATAAAAAAAATCTCTTGCCCTACAAATGTTTCAGAAAAGCTGAGTGAACAGCGCCGTTACTCTGAGGCTGCTCTCCTGCTGGACCAATATGCCAATGTAAGTCTGTCACATTGGGTTGAACAATTTGGAAAACAATATGTACTTGTGATTTGCGAAGAATTTTGATTGCAATTAGATTTGTGATTTATGGTTTAATAAGGATATAAGCTCATATTTTAAACACGTTCTTGAAAGAACTGACTGAGCAGGTTGTATTTAACAGGACTGTGAGGAGGCCATCCTGGCTCTGATCACTGGGGCTGTTTGGGACGAGGCTTTGCGTTTGGTTTGTGTTTTTGGCTTAATTTCACTTCTGTAGACAGTATGTTAGGTCTCACCTATACCTGAAATTCATATCTCTCCTTTATCCCCTGTAGATTCACACACACCAAAGACAGGACATCACAGAGACCAACCTCAAACCTGCTTTGCTAGAAGGTACATAGCTCCTGCATTTCATCTAACACCTAAACCTCTCCTCTCATCTTCATTTGAATGCTCCTACATCTTTCAAATAGCTATTCTGTTTTTACATATCTACTGGCATTTTAAGGAACATTATTGTGTCCTCAGCTTTCAGCGCTCAAACAGTCTTTCTGGAGACTCAGATGTCCACATTCACGCGCCACAAGAACAGACTGGCTGTGGTCCGAGAGCAGAAACTCAAGGCCAGGGAGGACATGCTTGGTACAGATCATATAATATTTTTCATTGTTTTAATTGCTGCTGAGAACTTTTTTTATAATATCAAAATAAAAATTACAGATTATAAATTTCAAGTCAGACAGGCAATCCCAATGCTCTCTGACAATATTTCTAAAACGTCTTAGCTCAGATGCATGAAAAATTAGCTTCCAGTTTTGAAACCTTACATTTAAAACTTGTCAGATGATGAAGGCCCAGACTGTGCTGATGCTGAGCTGTACAGTGAAGCCAGCAGTGTCCTGACCGGATCCAAGTATTCTCAGAGCAACTCGCGCATCTCCTCGTAAGACTACCACTGTTTTTATGATGTTAAACATCAGTGCATTCATGTCTTATCACTGCTATCATCTACTATGGTTTACGTAGGAGGTCATCGAAAAACCGACGGAAAGCAGAACGCAAAAAACTGAGTTTGAAAGAAGGAAGCCCGATGGAAGACAGGGCACTGATACATGCCCTCGGGGAGATCATCACCACTGTGGACAAAATGAGAGGTACATCTGTCTGCTTATTTTCTGTATTACTGAGAACATCTGGATCTAAGTTGGGCTCATGTTCTAGAATTGAATGTCACAATCTCTGAGCAGTTGTTGATATACAGAATCTATTGGAAGATTTTTTTTAAGGAACTGTATGCAGCCTGTGCTTTTACGGTTTTAATAAAGGAAATACAGTCACAATTGAACCTGGATTGGCAGTACTTTAAGATGTATATTAAGAGGACATATACAGGTTTTTCTCATTCTCAGTGTATGAACATCTAACTGGAATTCAGCATTCAAAGGCAACCCAAATGAGAGACTCACATGAGGCTCATTTTATTTTCTGATTGGATAATTGTCTTGAGAAACAAAACACCAAATTGTAACATAAATTGAGCTGTCATGTCCACTGTATTTGTAATTAAGAATAAATCACTGTTAGAAATGTCAGTAGAATATAGATTAATCTGGAAACACAGTTAGGTCATATTTATGGAATTTAACATCATAATCTGGTTCCTTTTAATGTAATATCTTAACAAAAAATTTGCAAATGTTCCATCTGATAATTTGGTATTAGGAATACACAATTGGATGTGTTTACAATTATAACTCTGTAATCAAATTTAAAGTAATAATGAAAATAGATACAAGGAATATAATTGTGGCAAAAGTTTTTTTTAAAAAGTTATGTAACGATGAATTCCTGGATGATGGTGGTTATTTCATTAATTAATTAATCATTGCATTTATATAGCATCTTTCAAGAAGACATCCAAAGCGCTTTACAGTTCATTGTTCATTCACTCCACTCTCGATGGTGGTAAGGTACTATTGTAGCCACTGCTGCCATGGGGCAGACTAATGGAAGTGAGGCTGCCAATCTGCACGATGCCCCTTCGACTACCACCATCTCTCACATACACTTCTTTCACACTAGGCAATGTGGGTGACGTATCTTGCCTAAGGACACAATGACAGTTTTTGCACCTAGTGCCCCACTGTGGCACCAGATTTTCCCAGCAGTTTCTCATCCAAGTACTAATCAGGCCCAGCCCTGCTTAGCTTCTAAGATCTGACGAGATCAGTCTTTGACAAGCCGGTATGGTTCCAGAGGTTGCTACTTAAAGGTGCATTGTGTAACTTTTCTGATGCTTTTCTCTATGGAAATGTCTTTGCTATGTCTGGAATGTTTCATAGTATGGTATTAAACCTTTCTGTCTCCAGGGAGACCAAACCACACCAAATTACATGTCAGATCCGTGGAGAGGATCCAAAAAAGAGAGTCACCTAAAAGTTACATAGTGCTCATTTAAAGCACTAAATGACTCCCTTCTCAATATATTTAGTATCAAAATGCAACTTTTTTACTTTTGATTTTTTACTAGGATTATTTATAATCATTTTTTACAGTTGATTAGTCACAAACATTAGTTAATTGTTGCAGCCCTAGTGAGCTCAAAAGACAAATCTAATCCACTAGACCAAAAAAAAAAAAAAATCATAGTACTTGATAAAGTATTCAAAACCTCTACTGCTCACTGACCTGTGCCCTGTCTGCTGTGTTTCAGAGGAAGTGCACGGCCTGCTGAAGATGTTAGTTCTGTTTGAGTTTGAGCGGCAGGCACACAGGCTCCAGGAGCAGTATGCAGAGGCTCTGAGTCTGCTGGAGACCTCTGTGCCTGAGGTGTGGCCTGAGAACACGCTCAACTGCACTCCGGTCAGTCCTGATTTTTACTGCTTATTACACACAACAAGATTTCAGTTAGAATGACAATAAGATGATTCAGGGTTACTACAACAAAATGAACAACAAAACCATCACCTTAGTAACAAATTTTTGACGTAGGTTAATCTTGTTATTAAATCTGAATAAAGATGGGATATCAGTGTTCATAATAACACAAAATGTACTCACTTTCAAAAACCTTTGAAAAGTAAACTTTACACTAAAATATTATATTGTGTTCATGTATTTAAATTATTGCACTACTATTTATAATATATTCTATATTTAATACCATTGATTGATACTGTTTTTTGCTCTGTAGCTCACTGGGCCCCAGAGCACGGCCAACAGCATCTCAGCCTCGTTCCAGCAGCAGAATCCAGCAGCTCCTCCACAGGCCCAGGCACAAGGTCAGATATATAGTATATTTAATTATTGTGTATTATGTATTTTACCATGTATTTTTACCAATAAACTTACCATGGTTGTATTGTTTGTTTTTAGATGCTGAGATTGTGACTCCACCAAAGCTGAGACATAACATCAAGTGGAAGCTCACTGTTCTAACATAAAATATATGTATTTAATTTAGCTTTTTTTTTTTATCTTTACATGTACATGTTATTATGAAATATTAAAATATGAATATGAACTGTATAAAAGGGTGTCCTTCTGACTGTTTGCTCTCAGTCTGTGTAAATGTCAGTCCTTCCACTAAATCAGGCTATAAATAAAACTAGCTATTTAATTACTTTAGCAGGGTTGCTAATCAGAACCTTACCTGGCAAACGTGTATGTACTTTAAAAACACAGAAAAGCATTTGCAGCATTACCACTTCATTGCTGTCAAAAGCACCACCTCCAAAAGTAACAGTCTTCGAGCTCTGGAGAGGGAGGCTACGTTTCTGTGCACATTATGGTTTAGCCCTGGTCTAGTCCAGGTTTAGCTCCAGGATTGTTCCATTTTGTCCGCATGTTGATGCAGTGTTTGTGTAAGTGTTAATGAATCCCAATGAAGTGATCAGTTTGAGGACAGGTGGTCTTTCAAACCATTAAGCAGCTTCATGAGTTCCTACATTTCTGGATGTTATGAAAGTATCTAATCCTGATCCAGGGCAGCCGTGGTTAGTCCAGAGCGCCCTGAGCCACAGTCCCAGGTCTGGTCCCCACATGGCCCCAGTGTGTGGAGGTCTGCTGGTCCCAGATTAGACTCTAATTACAGCCTGTGATGGTGGAGTGAGGCACAAACATCCAGCTGCTGGTGCTGCTATTTTCTCCTCTGCCTTGGACCAGAATAGGACTAGGCCTGGTCAGCCGTGACTAATGCAGGCCCTATGTTGGACGGAGAGCTCGCCGGCCAAAGTCCACACAATTCAACACACACAATTTATCCTATATACTGCGTGAATGAGATGGTGCGGTCAGAAAGAATCATCCAGTCTTTAAAGATCTAAATCTGTTGAACTTGAGTTGCCACTGCCTGGGGACATCCTCTAAATGACTGTTGACCATCTGTGAGCTGACCGCAGACTGATGGTGATCTGGGAATAGCTGCATTCAAGTTATACACCAAAAGCTAGATCTAAACAGGAAACACTGAGATGTAAACATGTTACCTCCTGCCTCAAACTTCAACACACCGGGATTTCAACTCTTACTTATACCGTAGTCCAAATGTACCTCTAATGATACACGGGGCCCTCTGGAGTTTTAGTGTACTTTTTGTTTAGAGACACATCTATGTTTTTGTCATATTTTGAGTTTAGAAGAACTTTATCCCTGGTTTAGTCTCATTTAGTCTCACCATGTTTATGCCTAATTTGAGCTGTCGTTGTGTCCTTAGGCAAGACACTTCACCCACATTGCCTAGCATGAAAATGGAGGGTGTGGTGTGTTGGTGGTGGTCAGAGAAACCAATGGCAAAAACTGGCAGCTTCGCCTCCATCAGTTCAGCAAGTCACAAAATCTTATGTTGATCCTATGAAATGATTAGAGCATTTGTGCTTCTTACACCTCTCCTGTGATTCAGATTTTCTTAATTTTGTGTCTATCCTTTGCCAGTACCAGATTTTAAGTATTACTTAATTTTTAATTCTTTCTAATTACCTTAACTTCAAATTACAACGCTGATGTTACGTCCTGACAGTTACTCTTTAAGTTACTCTTACTTTCTTACACCACTACTTTGTACTTCTGCTTGAGCTATATCATTTTAAGTAATGTTACTCTTACATGAGGACAGTTTTTGGCTACTCTACCCACCTCTGGTTATGTCAAACCAAATTTTTTTCTTTCTATTATCCATTAAAATAAATATGAATTACTCCCTGCAACTGACCATATTGGAAACCAGACGCTCTATTTGGAACATTCAATAGTCTCCTACAGTGAGCATCTGAGGACAGGGACACACACATATGTTTCAGCATGTCAGAGGGACAAAGGACACTGGGGGGACATAAGGGGGGACAGTTATGTGATTGACTTGTCCTGCTGCCCATGCATTCAGGAGCCCATGTAAAGAGCTGACTCGTGCCTCCTCTCTCACATCCTCCGGGGGCCGCACAAAAGCAGGGGACGGGGCCGCACAATGGGCCCCTGGTGCTGTTGACATGGGCATTATACTCACAAAAGGCCCCCGTGTCCAGGGACCCCACACGTTTCCTGTTCTCCTCTGTGATGTATGGCGAATCCCCGTCGCACTCTGTCAATATATGTTTCATTTGACATGTATGTTTGTCATGTAGCAGAACTCAAAATACTACAACAGCATGTGAGTTCATGCGAAAACAACTACAGAAAAGAAGGAAAAAGTTTACTTATATGGGGAAAGCTAGATTAAATACACAAATCTTGAGATAATCCACTCTCTACCTTTCTACTGTTGTGCTTATAATTCCTTATAATTGGGGATGCAACGATACAATACTGGTATCGGATTTGTCAATATTGAAAATTTTGATGGATCAAATATCGGTTTAAAGATATTGGTTCAGTCTATATTGGTTCGGTCGATATCCCATTTTGGTCTGTAAACTGGTATGATAAGACAATTTACTGGACAACGTTGACCTCAAACAGCTCACAATATTTTTCAAAGCTGTTCTGTAGTTACTACAAAATGTATTTGGAGAATTTTTAACATATATATTTTTACCAGACAAATAAAATACATTTTAGTCTCAGTTTCTGATCTAGTATTGGCTGATATCGAAGATCAACAGATACTTAAGTATAGATAAGCATTATCAGAACAGAGAAAGCTAGATCGGTCCATTTCTACTATTTGGTTGCCCATCGACCAAGTAATCAACTAATCAACTAAACCAAAATAACTACAGCCCTACTTGATTTGTGGTTCATTTTCTGATATTATTGCTTTTAAAATTCAGATGATAATATTAAAGGTGCAAGGTGCACTATGAAACTGTTTCGGTGAAGGATCTGCCACCTGCTTGTCTGCATAAAAAACACTGTATCATTGCTTTGTCTGGAATGAATAGCATCAACCATCTATCTTACATTTATTGAATTACACGTTTTTATTGCAGAAGAAATACCTTGAAAAAACATTTTTACTGTGAGATAGAGTCGCCTCTCCGCAGATCTGACCTTTAATTTGGTCAGGTGACAAACAGGCCTAACATCTCCATAGAGAGAAAAAAATATATATATAAATAAATAAAAACATCCATGGAAGTACAGAAGTGGTGGATTAAATATAATTCCATTTTAGTAATTTGAACTGGTCTTTATGTTTCGCTTATTCCAACATTATGAACAAGTCTTGAAATATTAATCGTGGCAATGGGTCTGAAGAGTGGTACTCACGTAACTTACCCCTAGAGGTCCCCGTACCCCGCGTTGGGAATCACTTTTCTGCACGCTGGCAGCTAACTATTCTCATTTGTTTTTTCATATCGTTTTGTTCGAGAAAGAAAAGAAATCAGATACGCCTAAATAAGGACAAATAACATTCAAAGTCATCTATAAAATAACAGCCAGATTGTCTGCAGTGCCGGGCCCCTGCGCCGGCCTTCCTCCCCGCTCCTCTGTGCAACATCTGGCGACAGCCCCTCTCCAGACCTCCAGACCGTGCACACACTCGCAGCAGACCGAGCCGAGGCTGTTCTGTTCTGGGCTGGTGTTTCCCTTGTGCGCATGTCCGCTCCCCGCAGCAGCCAGAGGAGCGACGGGGCACCCACTCTACAGTAACGGGACACCCAGGGCCAGGGGACTGCATCTATGGAGCGGCTCACAACTCACTTTTCAAAGCCTTCTAGTCCACGATGAACTTTTGGATTTCCGTAAGATGTATTTCCAGATAAGCTGCTCCATCCTCCTCGCCGTCTACTTGGTCTGCCAGCCGCTGCGAGCTCAGGGTAGGTCCCGTGGCGCGACATCCAACGCTGGTCAACCGCGATTTCTTTCAAACATAAAACTCTTTTCAGATTAAAATACACCTTTAAACGAGATTAACACCTGCTTTCCTTGTACTTCTGACTTTTCTCTGCTAAGTAAACGCAGTGTCGTTAGCTAAAGTCCCCTAGAAATTGTCCAACTTTACGTGGATAAACCCAACTTAAGTGCGTAAAAGTTAGTCAAGATGTTTGCATATGGAACTACTACGTCAATTTACGATAGAGTTACAAGTTAAAATGTATGCACAATGTTTGGAAGAGGAGATGTGACCATGATCCAGAGTTAGTCCAGGATTAGTGAACGCTAGCCTTACTTTCCCGTTACTTTTGGAGAGGGCTAGCCTGCTGCTGTAGCGAGCGAGGGGACAGGAAACTGCATAGGCTACTGCACAGGACCGAAGCCTTTTGGTTCTTTTTCTGCAATAAACCTTGAATGCCAAAGTTAAAAGACGTGTGCAGTAGATTTATGGACAAGAGACAAAAGCATGGAGAGAGGCACGGCGGAGTTAGGGATCATGCAACGGGCGACATATTCCCTCCGCCCGGCTGCCATAACTGTCAGAAGTACTGCTTTGTGCAATGAGCGCCCTGATCCAATATTGCTCTGAAAATTCAAGTTTTGTTTTGTTTTTTTCAGGCATGCTCGTTTATTGTTTATCACATAGACTCTGATCTGAGGGTTTCCTTATCAGTGGATGCTGCGTGAAAGGCATTGGCTTCAAAGGATGGACAAAGATAGGAAAATTTCACATCTAATTTACCCTTACATAGAATGTCCAGGCGTCCCCATTTACGCGCGGGACAGTCCCATTTTTTACTCCTGTGTCCCCTGTCCCAGCAGATTTATCCAAAACCATTGATTTGTCCCAATTTTATACAAGAAATATCCATGGTGCCCCTATTTTTGACCAATTTGATACATGCCAACAATAAAGAGAGACATACATTGTCCTTTGTTTAGGTAAAATCCAGAAAAGCATGCTTAAAAATGACCAAAACGCTATACTGAAGAAGAAAATGTGGCTATACTGACTCACATGTTTGTCATGAATGGGCCAAGTGCAGAACAATTGTCATTAGTTACGCACTTGTTTCACAATTTTATTATTACCAACCACTACAAACCGGGGGTGTCCCAGTTTTTGATTTTGAAATTGTGGTTACCCTACCCTAACAGTAAAATGTAACAAACATTTGGTCAAATTTAGTCCACAAATATAAA